GAGTGAGTTGGTGGGCCTGGGGGGAGTTGCCAAACTGGTATTGGATGGCTGCTATCAGCCAGAGCAGCCATGGGGTTTTCTGAGCTAAGGTGCTCTGGGTGCCCAGTTTGCCACTGCCCAAACTCAGCAGAGATTTGTGCTGTGAGCTGGTGCCCCGTTTTCTGCCCAGAGCTCTCTGTGCCCACAGCTCCCCTGTGCAGCCGGGTGCCCACACCCCTCGGGGCACCCAGTGCTGCTCCGCACCCTCACACCCACCCTGCACCCCCGGCCGTGGCGGGGCCTCAGCAGCTTCCTCTCTCCGCAGGCGCCTCGCAGCTTCGAGAGCCGGCTCTGAGCGCCCCAACAGCCGGGCAGAAGCCAGCAGAATATTTGCAGGAGCGTTTAAATAAAGATCAGCAGCACAATCGACTGCGTTGTACCGGCAGCAAACCCAGGATGGGGCCCACCCCCAGCACCCCTCAGTCCCCACCCTTGGTCCCCCCAGGGACACAAACCCAGGCCCACTGTGGAGTCATAAAGCCATCCCCAAACCTGGCATCCCCAGGGACATCCCCTCCAGACCCAGCATGGTCTGAGAACATGAGTTCCACCCCCAGTCCCACCATGGGATCCCATCCCAGGTACCATGGGGGTCCCCATAGCCTCCAGGGCCATCAGCCTCATCCCTGTCCCAAACACCTCTGAGGACAGCCTCATCCCAGGTCCCAAACACCCCCAGGGCTGTCAGCCCCCCCTCAGCTCCCCATTCCGAGTTCCTGATTCCCTTTGGGGACATCAGTCCCAGACCCAGTGACATCAGAGGGGCCCATTCCCACCCTCGGTCCCATTGTCCCCAGACACAGCAGCCCCCCATCCCTGGGCACCAGCTGCAGCCCCCACTGGAGACACCAATCCCAGCCCTGTTACGGGGTCCTGTTCCCACCCCATGTCCCCAACCCCCCTAGGGACATGAACCCTCCTGCCCCTCATCTCCAGTCTCATCCCAGGTCCACCATCACCCCCGTGGAGAGACCCACCACTGGCCAAGGCTGAGCTCAGCAGTGGCTCTCCTTCCCATGCTCAACTTCAATCCCAGTTCTCTCCCTGCTCCCCTCCATGGGCACAGGGAGATGGGAATGTGGGTCACAGTCAGTTCATTCCATGGTTCTCCCTTGAGGAGAGAAGCCCTTGTCCTGATCCAGCGTGAGTCCTTCTCATAGGACACAATCCCTGCTCCACCATGAGTTCTTCCCACGGGGTCAGTCCCTCGGGAACTGCTCCAACCTGGATCCCCACGGGGTCACAGGTCATGCCAGCAAACCTGCCCCAGCATGGGCTCCTCCCTCCATGGGACACAAATCCCTGCCAGGACCCTGCTCCAGGTTTCCCATGGGGTCACAGCCTCCTGCAGCATCCCCTTTCTCCGGTGGGGGCTCTTCCAAGGGCTGTAGGTGGGTCTGTGCTCCCCCTTGGGCCCCCACAGGCTGCCGGGGAATCTGGGCTCCAGCGCCTGGATCCCCTCCTGCAGTGGCCTGGGGCTGCCAGGTTGTTTCCCTCATACATTCCAACTCCTCTCTTCTCTGCCCCAATTCCTTCTGCCCAATAAGTTTTTCCTTCCTCGTAACTCCACATCCTTGAGGTGTTGCTGCCATCACTGCTGGGCTCAGCCTTGGCCAGTGGTGGGTCTCTCCACGTAGGTGATGGTGGACCTGGGATGGGACTGGGCATGAGGGACAGGAGGGTTCATGTCCCTAGGGGTGTTGGGGACGTGGGGTGGGAACAGGACCCCGTAACAGGGCTGGGATTGGTGTCCCCAGGGGTGTTTGGGACAGGGATGAGGCTGATGGCGCTAGAGGCCATGAGGAATCCCATGGTACCTGGGATGGGACCCCATGATGGGTCTGGGGAGGGATGCTGCTGGGTGTGGCAGGTTTGGGGGTGCCGTGTTGATCCCACAGTGGGCTTGGGTGTGTGTCCCTGGGGGTGACCCAGGAAAGCCTCATGCCCGACCAGTCTGTCCCATCCCATTATGGGGATCCTTCACTGAACAGTCCACTGGGTCGGAGGGGGTTTGACTGAACTGTTCAGGGTCACACCCAAACACAAAAACCCCACCCAGCTCTGCACCTTCACCCACTGCCAGCGAGTGCCAGCACCTGTGAAGGACTCACAGTAAGAGTTTACAGAGTAACACTTAATAAAATTGGGACAGGTTAAGGTTCCAGGATTCCCTAATTCAAAGCAATACACTGACAATCTCTAATTCCCAATAAAAGCTGGCTCAAGACAATCCTTCAGCACACAGAGTACAGTTCTTATGCAATGGGCCCCTATGGGGCAGAGACAGGTTCAACCCGGTGAGTGACCTCAGAGGTAACTGAGGTAAGAGTGGAGTCTTTCCTTCTCCTCCCCATTTGTAACTCATTTTTATGCTATTTCTCTATATTTAGGTGGAACTTGAGTGACGTTAGTTATGCATCTTACTCAGTGAGGGGTGGTTGTCCCTTAGGGGTGGGTACAACAACGGGTCACAGAATATTCCAAGTTGGAAGGGACCCTGAAGGATCATCAGGTCCAACTCTTAAGCAAATGGCCCCTATTGGGATTGAACCTGCAACCTTGGCATTATTAGCACCATGTTCTAACCAAGGGAGCTCATGTGGGGGTACTGTTATAGTCAAAGAGACCACAAATAATTTTAAAATTTGAAATCCCAAAATTTATTGAAGGCAAATGAGCAAAACAGTGCTGGGAGGTCGAGGAGACTCTTGCTCCGCAACGGTCCGCAAGTTCAAAAAGCCAAAGCCCGCTTCTTTTATACTTGTTGCAATCCCCGCCCCCTTAGTCTCTTTCTGCTTCATCACTGGTTCTGGCTGCGTGGACCTCGTTCCGTTGCTAGGGGTCAGCCAACAGTCTGGTTAGTCAGCAGTCCTCAATTCCCACCCTGTCGCAATCCCCGGGTGAAGGCAGTAGATCCTCTTTCTGGACCCTTTAGTCGACTCCCCCCTTTTTGCTTCATGCTTTTTCTTCCTTATAAGTAGGCTTAAAGCATTATAGCTAGCATAACAGGATACATCTTACCACGGCAACACAACAATGCGGTTTGACATTTTGCAATTTAACATTTTGCAACCTAAGTAAAGCGTTAACCACATCATTGCAAACTTTATTATTACAAACTCAATTTTATCAGCAAATTATTTATCCTCGCCTTTATCAACCATTACAGTACCTCAGGATAGTACCTGAGATAACCCTGGGATGGGACACGGGCAGTGCCAGGACAGGGATTTTGCCAGGGTTGCTGATTCAGGGGCAGGACATGTTCCTGTCTCCGCCTTGGTTTTCAGCTGCTGTGCAGCTGATCAGCCACAAAGTACCACTGAGTTCCCTCCTCTGCCAGGGTTCTGACAGCGCCGCAGTGTCTCTGCTCTGCTGTGGCTTCGTTCAGTCTCCCTTGGACTGTTGTGTGTGGGAGGTTGGGTGTGCTGACTGTGTTCCATCCAGGGAGCAGCAACCATATTTTTCCCTATAACTTCTGTGCCATTATCTTTTTACCCTCAGTGGCCTTCCCACACCCCCTGAGCAGGACTTGGGGCTGGACAGAGAGCATGGGGGGAGTGCAGATGTTTGACCAATCACCCCTTGGAGTGAGATGGACAAAACCCCTCCCTGGGTCAGGGAGGGCCACCCCCAGCTCTTCCTCTACAGCCCAGCACCCACACTCTGAGGGGACACACTCGGGCCCTCAGGAGACACCCGAACCTCGCTCTCCCTCGCTGCCCTTTCTCCAGCATGGGCAGCGCTTGCCTGCTCCCAGTTTTCAGGTCTTGTCTCCCATGTATGGCCCCTGGCAGGACTGCCCAGTGCCTGGATAATTTGGAAAACATTCCTCTAGCCCAGAGTGGGGGCCTTCCCCAGGACTGGCCAGCACTGCCAAGGATCAGGGAAAGGTAAAGCCTCAGTGTGGGTCAGGTACAGAGGCTGCAGGGGGATGGTGCAGGGTCCCCCCAAGCCGTGCTGGACCCGTCGGTGCAGCCCTTTGGACCCCAGTTCCCAGGAGGGATCCCCTCTGTTGAGCCAGGGCCTCCAGGGCCTCCTGGCAAGCTCTGGGATGCAGGTGCTGCAGGAAGGACATTCAATCCAGTCGCATTTCCTGTGATCTGCTGAGTGGGGTCCAGGTGACCTAGTTCCCAAAAGGGCAAAGTTGTGAAATCCCTGAGAACAGGATGTGGGGGGCAGTGAGCCTCTCCCCACATCCACAGAGGGTCTGAGGGCGTGTTCCTGGCACAGTGACGGCCACAACCTCCCCCGTCCCGAGGTGACAGGGACCCCGGTCGCTCCTGGCTGCTGGCAGAGCTCTGGCTCTGTGCTGACAGTTTGGCTGCTGACGCGAGGAGCAGCAGCAGCAGCAGCAGCAGCAGCGGGGCAGGGCCTGCAGACACTCGGGATCTCGGCGGATGCTGCCGGGTGGCCGAAGGACAGCGATTACCTGGCACTCCTGTTGGCTGAACGGCCCCGGTGTTTTCCCCAGGGACTGGCACTGCCTGATGGTCTTCCTGAGGTGCCTCCTTATCCACAGGCTCACGCTCCAGAGCTTTAGAGAGAAAGTGTGTCAGCTGAATTGCAAGTCCCCATTCCTCATGGGGATCTGCCAGAGCTGGGGGCTGGCCCTGCCCTCCCCACCTACCCACTGCCCACGGTCGCCACGGAGCAGCCCTGACACCCCCGTCTGGCAGGGCCACCAGGAGGAGGATGAGGGCCAGGGCCCACCGCGCCTGCACCATGCTGTCACTGCTGTCACTGTTGCTGCTGACACAGCTGGTACTGCTGGAACTGCCGCTGCTGGCACTGTCACTGCAGGCACTGCAGGCACTGCTGGCACTGGCACTGCATGCTGCCACTGCTGGCACCGCTGGCACTGCGGCACTGGCACAACTGACACAACTGGCACAACTGACACAACTGGCAGTGCTGGCACTGCTGTTGCTCCTGCCATCGCTGCTAGAGCCTTGAGCAGGAACCAAACTCTTCAACAAAACACCCAGGAGGATTCTTGGTCTCCTGCCCAAGCCTTCAGCCACCTCCAGAGGAAGTGAGTACACTCTTGGTGGTGCCCAGGAGGAATCCTGGGAGGCTGCCAGACATGAACTGGCCTCTAACACGGACACAACAGGTACATGACCTACCTGGGGGCATCTGCAGCTACTGCCCACGGCTTCAGTTGCTGACAGACTGTTATAGGTTATAAATTCCATAGGGGAATTTTTCTTCCCCTGCTGCACTCTAAGAAAAAACAGAGTGAGTGGGGGAAAGGAAGTTAATTAGCTTTACAAAAGATCTGGCCGAATTCCTAGCTAATGGTCCATCAGAGAGGCTGGGGGGAGAGGAGAGAGAAGTTTTAGGAGGGGAGAGGCAGACGGCGGAGCTCTCTCTCTCAGACAGAGACGGGGGTCTGCGTGCAGGCATTTGGAGAGAAGGACTGGGGATCTGGCTTTTTGGCTTCTCATCCTAGTCAGCTCGGACTACTGGCCTCAACTTGCCTGCAAGCTGTCTCTTGTCTCCAGCCCGGATCTGCTGTGTTTCATCGGAGAGTTGCGTGCCCACCGGGAGAAAAGGGAGGAGTTTTGAGACACCGTCATCTGAGACAACAGTGAGTCCCATGGGAGTGAACTGCTTCCCTTCCCTTTTTCTCCCACTGAGGGAAGGGTCCCCCAATTTCTTTTCGGCTCCTCCCGAGACCCCCCCAGGCCCCCCTCCCGCGTGGTGACCGCCAGAGCCCAACAGCTCCCCCTGCAGGCCCCGATTAGGACTGCGCTAAAGGACAGAGAAGTGTTCCTTCAGACTTGGTTGGTTGGTTGGTTTGGTTTGGTTTTTTTTCTAGGACTACTGTCTAGGTTTTTTGTGTTCTGTTACTGTTTTTGCCAACGTACATATATCTTTTAATAAAGGGTTGTTATTTCTTCTGTTTTTTCCACACTTCCTCGATTAAAGCCCCTTAATTTTGAATTTACAATTGCTGAGAGAGAGAAGTTTGGTCTATCTCATAACTCATCCTCTTTAGCAAAGAGGATGACACAGACGAAACCACAACACTCTTGGAAATGCCAGGACAGAGTCCCAGGGAGCCTCCAGGAAAGGACCTGCCTCCAGCATGGGCAAAACACTTTGGCTTGCAACCTTGGAGGGGTCTGGGGCTGCTCACAGCGGTGCTGGCTGTTCAAGGATGGACAAAACGCATCCAGCTCCTGGTGCTGAGCACAGAAATCACAGCAGCAATGCAAACGTGTTCCAGAATAAAGCCGGTCCCATTCCCTTCCCCCCAGCTGCTCCCTCCCTACCCCAGGCTCTGGGGCACTTTCCCTGACGTGATGCACAGAATCCTCTCTGCTGACACTGTCATCAAAGCTGTGAAATCACAATTCTGGCCTGTGGCTGAGCTGATGCTTTTGCACGAGGGGCAGCCAGCACGTGTCATGCCTGGTGATCCTGGCACTGGCACTGCTGAGGTGTGAGGATGTGAGCAACTGGGGGCTGGGGTGGGAGGTCAGGGCTGTCGGGAACGGGGCTGCCCAGGCACCGTTCTATTGCATGTCCCGTGCCTTGCACACACATCCCCTGTGCCTTGCACACCTGCACCCCACTCCACTGCACACCTGCACCCACATCCATATCACACCTGCACCCACATCCACATCACACCTGCACCCACATCCATATCACACCTGTACCCACATCCACATCACACCTGCACCCACATCCATATCACACCTGCACCCACATCCATATCACACCTGCACCCACATCCACATCACACCTGCACCCACATCCATATCACCTGCACCCACATCCACATCACACCTGCACCCACATCCACATCACACCTGCACCCACATCCATATCACACCTGCACCCACATCCATATCACACCTGCACCCACATCCATATCACACCTGAACCCAAATCCACATCACACCTGCAGCCCCTCCATTGCTCTGTTCCACACCCCGGGGGTCCCACGGCTTCACCCCAGGGTGCCATTGCCCATGTACCTGACAGACCCTGTCAGGGAACACCCCCAAGGGGCAGCGCCCCATGACATGGGCTGGGGGCACTGGGTGGGGGTTGCCCCAAACTTCTTCTAAGCCTCCAGCGCCAGCTGCCCAGCAGTCTGGGGAGGGTCAGTGCACTCAGGCCAGACATTTGAGGAGGGGGTGCAAGGCATGTGATCGATATGGAACCAACCCACTCAGCTTCCAGGCCTTCTGTGTGGAACATTTTCCATTGGAAAGCATCTCAGTGCTTGCTTGCCATAAAGAACTGGAGTTGTGAGGCCGCGGGATGAACTTTCTCTGTGTTGTGTCAGGCAGAGATGGATCTAAGGGAAAGCTGGAGCTGCTGATTGGAACATGCCCAGTCTTTGGAATACACAAAGCTGCAGCTTCCAGCCCATGGATGGCGGGGCATGAGCTGTAACCACCATGTTCCACCATGGACTGCAGTCCAATGACCCCCCAAAACTCCCCTCAGAGGGGGTGAAGCTGAGCACGTGGCAGCCCCTTGGGAACAAATAGCAAAGCCACGGAGAGTGAGAAGCCTCCAGGCCCTGATAATGCTCTTGGTCTGGGCTGAGGGAGGGGAAGTAGAGCTTGTTGGGGTGTCCTTGCCCAGAGATTTCTTTATTTGGGATCCCCTGGTGAGGCAGCAGCTTGAGCTGCCAGAGGATAGGACTGACCTGTGCCAGTGAACTCCTGGGATAGGGCGAGAGCCCAGGGTCACCCGCAGGTGTACCAGGGAGGAACGGGGGTGCTGAGGGGGGCTGTGGGTACCAGGGAGGGATGTGGGGCCTGGGGAAGAGATGGAAGTGCTGGGGATGGGATGTGGGTGCTGGGGATGGGATGTGGGTGCTGGGGAAGGATGTGGGTGCTGGGAGGATGCGGGTGCTGGGAGGATGCAGGTGCTGGGAAAGGGTCACAGGTGCTCAGGGGGTTGCAGGTGCCCAGGGGCAGGAACAGAGCCCGGAGCGTGGTATGGACTGACCGTGACCCCCATTCCCATCTCCCTGTGCCAATGGAGGGCAGCAGGGAGAGAAGCAGGGATAGAGTTGAGGCCGGGAAGGAGGGAGAGGTGGGGGAAGGTGTTTTTAGGATTTGTTTGACCTCTCATTCCTGTGCTCTGATTTGATTGCTAACAAATTCAACTAATTTCCCCAAATCGAGTCTGTTCTGCCTGTGACAGTAATGGGGCAGTGAGTGACCCCTCCCATCTTTATCCCACCCCAGGAGACTTTCGTTGTATTTCCTCTGCTCTGTGTAGGTGAGGGGAGGGATGGAGCAGTTTGGGGGGCACCTGGTCTCCAGCCCAGGTCAAACCACCACAGGCTGGCATTTTCTCTTTTTCTTTTTTTTTTTTTCTTTTTCTTTTTCTTTCTCTTTCTCCTTGTCTTTTCTTTTTTTTCCCTGCCTTTTTTCTAATTGTCCAGTACTTCTCATTTTCCCCTATTTTGCCTTTTTTCCCTTTGCATTTTCCTTTTTTTCTCCTTCCCCCATTTTTCTTGTCTTGTTTGCTTTTCTTGACCTTCCCCCCTTCTTCCTTCAGTTTCTTTCTTTCTTTCTTTTTTCTTGCCTTTTCCCTTTTTTTCTGCTTTTTTTTCTCATCTTTTCTCCTTTTTTTCTTACCTCTCCTTCTTCCCCTTCAACCTTTTTTTTAATTTTTCCCCTTTTCCCTTGTCTTTTCCTATCCCCCCTTCCTTCCCCTTTTTCCTTTGCCTTTGCTTGTTTTTCCGCTTTTCCCAGCCATTCCTATTCCCTCCCTTATCCCAGCTCCCGGGTGCTGCTCCCAGGGCGTTCCCACAGGTGCGAGGTCCCCGCCCCAGAGCAGCTGAACTGGGGCGTTTTGGGGTGTTTTCAGGGCGATTGAGCCCCTTGGGGCGCTGCTGGTGCCGGTGGGGTTTGGAGCTCTGGGGGGCCAGAGCTGGGGCTGGGGCTGCGGGCCTGGGGGTGGCGGGGCCTTGGGCTGGGGAGCGGGGCTGGGGGGCCGATGGGCCTGGGGCGCGCCAGGGCCCCCCCGGGGCTGGGATTGCTGTGCCCGGGGGTGCTGGGACCTGGGTGGGCTCGGGGACAGGGACAGGGGGCGCTGGGGCCCTGCCGGTACCTCTGGTGGGCTGAGCCCCGTGTGGGGCCGGGGCTGGGCCGGGGGTCCCGGCGGTCCCGGTTCCGGCGGGGCCGGTTCCGGTCGCGCTCCCCGGGGGCGGAGCGGGGCCGGGCCGGGCCGGGAGCGGCGGGGCCGGCGGTGAGCGGGGCCGGGGGACCCCCGGGGGTGCGGGGCGTGTGAGCCCCCGAGCCGTGCAGGGCCTGTGGGGCCGAGCCCCCCGGGCCGGGGAGGGTTCAGGGCCCCCCAGAGCTGCAGAGGGGCGCTGGGGCACATCCCCCCGGGCTGTGGGGCAGCGGGGCCCGTGTGGGGTGTGTTCCCCCCAGAGGGTCTCTGGGGGCTGTGGGGCCTGTGCAGGGGGTGCTGCCCCCCCATCTCGGGCCCTGTAGGGACTGTGGGGTGTGGGGGGCAGGTGTGGGGTATGTTACCCCCCAGCCCTATAGGGGATGTGGGGTGTGCTGCCCCACCCCAAATCCCTGTGGGGTGTGTGGGGGGTGTTACTAACCCCAAATCCCTCTTCGAGGGGTGTCGGCTGTGTTACCCCCCTCCCCAATTCCCTGTGGGGCACACGGGGGGGTCCCTCTCCCAGAGACTGCTCCGTGTGCCCCAAACCTGCCAAATTCCCACTTTCCACCCCTTTCTATCTCCAGGATTTTTCCCAGGACGTTCAAGCCCCAGCACCTCTGCTCTCCAGTTTGGGGGTGTCCCCCCACCTGTGACACCCCCCCAAGGTACCTGATGCCCTGGGGACCCCCCACTGCCACCAGCCCCTTCCCACCTTGAATCCCCCCTATCCTGGGGGTCCCTGACCCCAGCGGGGTCCCCCCCGCAACCTCTTTTCCTGCCTCCTTTGCCCCCACCCAACATTTAAAACCCAAATTGCTTCTTTTTCCCTCCTTTTTAGGGAATAAAATTCCTTACCCGCACCCCAGAGAAAGGGAGGGGGTGATGCTGATTTGTGGGGCTGGTGGTTGGGATGCTGGTGTTCCGAGGCACCCCATGGCTCCAGATGTGGGGGTGGAGGGGGCTGACGAGGGCTCTGGGGTCCGCAGGATCTCACTGTCCCCCTCATGCCCATATTTCCAACCGATCTAACTGGATCTGCGTTAGTCCCATTGGATCTGGGTACCCAACATGTCTCTGAGGGTTCATCCTGCTGGAGAACCCACTGCCCCACGCCTCCGGGTGCTGATCCCCCCAGATCCAGACTGATTGCATGGGATCTGGGTTGATCCGTGTCCACACACATCTCCCAGGTGTGACACCAGTTTATCCCAGCTCAAATTCCTCTCTTGCTGCCCAATATCAGGATACCTCACAGCATGAGCGTGTTTTGGGGTGTATCCACCCACATTTGGCATTCCCAGGGTTTGTCCCATCCCCCCCCTTCCCGTTTTTCTTTCCCTCCTCAGATGAAAACCTGGATCAGCAATTCGGACCAAAACCTGGAAGTTTTCATCCCGTTCCTGGGAAAATACCACCGTCCGTTTTTGGGGCGCTGCTGCCAGACCTGCACCCCCAGGAGCTGGGTGAGAGAGTTTGGGATGGGGCATGGTGGTGACAGGATCCCTGTGCCGAGGATCCACGTTGTCAGTGATCTGATCCCGCTTTTCCTCCCAGGATGGATTCTATGCCGAGGATCTCTCCACTCTGGGATTCCGTGACGTCAGCCGTGTGACGGAGAGGGATACACGGTGAGGCTGGATCAGCTGCGTGCTGGAAAACAGCTGGAAAATGGCTCTTTTCCCCAGATTTCCCCCAAATCCGCATGGGAGTCCCTCGCCATCCTCCCCGCTCCCAAATTATCCCAAACCGAGCTCATGAATCGTATTTTGGGAGGCTGGAAGTGGCGTCTGTGAGGGCTTGGGCTGTGGTCCAGCCATGGAATGGAGGATCTGGGGTCATTTGTTGTTTTCTTGAAGCAAAACTTGGAGTGTTGATGGGAAGAAGGTGGAGTTGGGGGATTGTTCTTCTCGCTGGCTCCAGCCGGTATCACTGGGAGTGAGCCTGGCTCCCTGGGAAAAGGGAAAAGAGCCAGATCCCTTTGGCTTCTCTCCCCTTTGGGAAGAATCCCTGGATTAACCATTGTGTGCTGGTTTTTATCCCACATCAGATCATTATCCTCCATTCAGCTCCAAATATTCCCAGCTCCAGCTTTGAAACCCTTAGACGAATCCCTTGGGATCCCAGGGAATGCAGTTCCCCTGTCCCACTCTGTCCCTTCCTACACGCTCTGGGATATCCCAAAGCTGTGTCCCACCCCACTCTCTGTGGATGTGGGGAGGATTGGGAAAATTCCGTGATTTGGGATGGCCTGAATGCCTGGTTTCCTTCCTGCTGGGCAGCCTGGAGCATCACCTCCAAATTCCTAACTGTAAAACGGAGATGAATCCCAAATCCTGGTAAAGGGGCATTCGGGGGGGGGTGATCCCCCTGGAAAAGTCCCCCCTCCAGGTTCTCCCTGTGTGTCCCCTCCAGGTTCCGGGGGTGGCTGGTCCGGAGGGTCTGCGGATTCCTCGCCACCTGGGAATGGGAAATTCCATCGGAGACCCCCAGGGAGCTCCCAGGGAAGATCTGCGGCAGCAGGAGGTGGGTGGGAGCATTGGGGGGATCCCGGGATCACCCTCAGCCCAGGAGGGGCGGGCCCCCATTCCTGGGGGATCCTGTTTAGTCCTTGGATCTCGGGTCAGTGGGATCCGGGAATGCCGCCGAGGCTCCCTGGATCCTGGCACGTGGATCCCAGGGTGCTCCCCCCTCCCTTCCCCCCCAGGGTGCAGGATGTTGCCTCCAGCCGGGCCCATGGATGCGGAGGGGATGAGGGATCCCGGCGGCACTGGAAGGAGGAGATCTGCCGGATCCTGGGGGAAATCCAGGCACCGCTGTCCCCTCTCCTGCTGAGGTCAGGGATCCTTTGGGGAAATCTTCTGGGATTCTGTGGGGGATGGATCCAGATCCTTTGGGAGGTCCTCTGGGGGGATGCACACGGATGGCTTGGGGGTTTTCTGGGATCCTTGGGGGGATATTCTGGGCTCCTTTGGGAGCTGCCCATGGATTCTTTGGCCAGCTGCCCTCGGAGTCCCCCACAGCTTCTGGAGTCCTTCTGGCAATTCCTTCCGGGGAGCTGGAGTGGGAAAATCCAACCCCTCCAGGAGGGTGGGAACCAGAGGGAGCCTTCCCTTCCCCACTGCCTTCCCCCTCCTGTCCCTGAGAAGTGGGAATTCAGGGCTTCCTTGCTGGTCTGATCCAGTGGGAATAAATGATCCCTCCAAGCCCTTAAAGGGAAGGAATTGCTCAGGGAATAAGGGCATGTTGGGATCCTTTTGGGGGGAATGCAGGGATAACTGATGGCAGCTCTGGTTGCCAGGGGAAAGGAGGTGTCTCATGCCATCCAACCTTTGCTGTGTGATAAAAGTGGGCATTTGCCTTTGTGGGAGCTGCGCTGGGAATTTTGAGGCAGGCTGGGTTGTGGCAAGTGAGGCAGGGGGTGGGAGTGTTTGGGGGGTTGGGGGCCGCCCTGTGCCCGCAGGGTTGCTCATTGCCAGTTTTGCTGCAGGCTGTGCCACTGGATGCTCCCCAAGCTGCTGAGCCGTCTGTTCCTGAGCGTGCAGCTGCAGCGGGGGCAGCTGGAGATGGTGCTCCGGGCTGCCAGGACGGTACGGAGCCCAGCCGGGCGCTCCCGTTGCCCGGGAGGGCCGGAATTCAGCCCAGGATCCTTCCTTGCAGCCCGAGGTGCCGCTGGTGTTCCTGTGCACCCAGCAATCCCAGCTGGATGGGCCGCTCCTGTCCTTCCTCCTCCTCTCGCAGGGCATCGGGGCCCCCAGGGTGACAGTGGGCACCCGGATCAGCCCTGGCCTCCGGTAAGGAGCCGGTGTGGGATGTTCCCGGGGGCTGCAGGGGGATGCAGTGTGTGCCCACGGTGTCTTTGCCCCCCAGGTCCCTGCTGCAACGCCTGGGAGGGATTTTCCTGCCTTCGGGAATGGCGCAGGCACGGAGTGAGCGGGATGAGGGGCTGCCGGGCGCTGTCCTGGATGCGGTAGGTGCGGTCGGGGCTGGAAAATGCCCTGGAGCGCTTGGGGAGGTGCCGGCAGCTCCCAGTACTCCCAGTGTCCCCCCAGTACGTGCAGGAGGTGCTGCGGAGCCGCCAGCCCCTCGTCATCTTCCTGGAGGAGCCCCTGGGTTTGCTGCAGCTCTCGGATCCCGCCCGGCGCTGGCTGCTCCGGGTGCTGCGGGCGCTGCGGGACGGAGCCGTGCCCGACGTGCGCATCGTCCCGGTGGGAATTGCCTACGACGTGGCTCCCGGCAGAGCGGGGCGGGATGGAGCGGTGAGAGGGGGTCAGGGGGGTCACCGGTGCTCACCAGAATCCCTGGGAGCATCCCTGGGGAGTGGTGATCCCCCAAATTTCTGGGGTTATCCCTGGGGAGTGGTGTTCCCCGAAATGTCTGGGGTTATCCCTGGGGAGTGGTGTTCCCCCAAATCTGCGGGAGCATCCCTGGGCAGTGGCATCCCCCTAAACCCGCCGTCAATCCCTGGATCCCGTCTCTCTGCAGCCCCCTCAGCCCCTCGGGATCGCCGCGTGTCTCCGGGCAGCATTCCAGGCCCTGCGCCGGCCCCGTGGCTGTGCCCGGGTAGATTTCTCCCAACCCTTCTCCTTACGGGTACGGCAGCTGGGGATGCCCCCGGATCCGTCCTGGCACTGGGGGGCTGTTTCCAGGATGTTGGTGGGGTTGGGGTGTCTGAGGGTATCCAGTGAATCCGTGCTGGGTGATCTGGGCTCCTCCCAGCCCTGGGGCTGCAGGGATCGAGTGAGCTCGTGGTGCTGAGGGCTGTGAGCACCCCCAGGCTCCTTTCTGCTCATTCCCAGGAATTTGTGGAGAACAACTTGGTGGGGCCTACGCTCAGCGGGAATCGACCAGAGCAGCTGCTGCTTCCCACCATCCTTGGCACGTGGTGAGGAGCTGAGCCCCGGGCAGCGTTTCCTCTTGGATCTCTGCTCCCGGCTCCTCTTGCTCAGCCCTCTCTCCCCAACGTCCCAGCGTGCCGGATGTGGGGAATGTGGGCACTTTGGGTGCCGGTGTGGGGACAGAAGAGGAGATTTTGGTGACGGCGCTGGGGCTGCACACACTGAGCGGTGAGGGGTGCGGGTGGTCCCTGCATCCCTTGGGATGGCATTCCCTGCTGGGGAATGGGGGTGGGGGTTCATCACCCCCCAGATAACGAGCCCCTCTCCCCCCCAGCAGATTCCAGCGCCTGCTCCGCCATCATGGCTGTGGGAATCACCGCGGCACTGCTGCTCCACAGGCACCGGGAGGTGGATAAGGAGCTTTTCATCTTTCCCTTCCCTCAGAGCAGCATTCCCAGTGGGAATCCCCTTTCATCCTCCTCAGAGCAGCATTCCCAGTGGGAATCTCCCTCCATCCTCCTCAGAGCAGCATTCCCAGTGGGAATCCCCCTCCATCCTCCTCAGAGCAGCATTCCCAGTGGGAATCACCCCTCTGTACCTCAGAGCAGCATTCCCAGCAGGAATCCCCCTCCATCCTCCTCAGAGCAGCATTCCCATTGGGAACCACCCTCCTCTCCCTCAGAGCAGCATTCCCAGCGGGAATCCCCCTCTATCCTCCTCAGAGCAGCATTCCCATTGGGAACCACCCTCCTTTCCCTCAGAGCAGCATTCCCAGCGGGAATCCCCCCTCTCTCTCCGCAGGCCGTGCTGCTGCCCCGGCTGATGCGGGATTTCTCGGGGCTGCTGGAGCAGCTCCTGCTGCGGGGCCGGGCCGTGGGATTCCGCGGGCAGCTGCGGGCGCTGGTGCTGCACAGCCTGCGGCAGCTGCAGCCCCCCGGGGCCGGGCTGGGGCCCCCGGAGGCCTCGGCACGGGGGCAGCTGGTGCGGCTGGCGGGGGGCGTCCGGCAGCGCCTGGGCGGGGAGGCGGCGGGGGGTGAGAGAGCCGGGGGGCACCGGGGACAGCGGGGACGGGGGGCAGCAGGGATGGGGGTGCCGGGCACTGGGGGGATCGGAGACGTCAGCGGTTGGTGACAGCGGGGACTGGGGAAGGTGAAACTGCGGGCTGGGGACTGCGGGGGGGTTGGTGACACCAGGAGTCAGTGGCACTGGGGGAATCGGTGATGCCGAGGGCCAGGGACGCTGGGGAATTGTTGGCACTGGGGAATGGGGATGTTGGGGGGACTGGGGACAGCGGGGGGGCACTGGGGACAGCGGGGATCAGGAATGCTGGGGAATTTGGTGACGCGTGGGGAACTGGGGACAGCGGGGACTGGTGACAGCCCTGTGCTGTCAGCCTGTGCCATCCGTGCCCTGCTGCTGGAGGTGCTGCCGATCCTGGGGACCCCCTGCGGCCCCCCCGGGATCGTGCTGAGCCGGGAGGAGCTGCTCCGCAAGATCCTGGAGGTGCTGCTGCTGCTGCCCCCCATCCTGCTGGGGCTGCAGGTGGGGACACGAGGGTGGCCTGTCACCCCCCACCTGCTGGGGCTGCAGGTGGGGACACGGGTGGCCTGTCACCCCTCTCCTGTGTCCCCAGCCCTGCCAGCCTCCCGAGCGCCACAGCCTGGACATCCTGGACAAGCTCGTCCTTGGGGGGCTGCTGGAGGAGGAGGAGGTGGGTGTCACCCCGGGAGCCCTCCTGGCACACACACGGGTCCCTGCTGGGGCTCAGGGTGGCTTTGAGGGGACAGCCCATTGTCCCCCCAGCCTGAGAGCGAGTGCAGGGGCTGCGACGTGGCCCCCCGACCCTCGTCCCGGGGCCATTCCTGCTGGGACTTCACCGATGACAGCGACAGTGACAGCGAGGACAGGGTCCCCAAGCGCTGCTACAAGGTACTGGGGGTCCCCCACCACCCCCTGGGCTGGGGTGAGGGGGTGTCCCCCAAATCCAGCTGTGTGTCCCCCCAGCTCAGCGAGCCCCAGGGCTTCCCCGGCTTCCTCCTCTTCCTCTGCCGCCTCCTGAGCCCCGTCCTGCGGAGCTACGGCCGGGCTGCGGAATTCCTGGAGAGACCCCCCTGGCCGCAGCCCGGTAGGACCCTCCAGAGTGGGGAACCCCTGGGGACCCTGGGAGGGCTGGAGCCCCCCAGGAGCTGGGATCTGACACCCCTCCCAATTCCAGAGGCAGACTACGTGGAGGCGCTGCTGGAATTCCTGAATGAGGATGAGGATGGTGAGTCAAGGTGGGAGGGGGTCTTGCTTTTGGGGGTCACTGCCCCCCTAGACTGGGCTGGGGGTGCCCGTGGGGTGGGATTTGGGGGTTCCCTCGGGACTTCTCTCCCCACAGGGTATCTTGACAGGAGCCTGGCCCTGAGCTCCCTGCAGAGCTTCAAGGACATGGGGGTAAGCACAGCCACCCCCCAGCCCCCCAACATCCTGCTGCCCCCCCTGACCTCCCCGTGCCCCCCCAGGTGCTGGAGGAGCTGCAGACCCCCACTGGACCCCTCCTCCAGCTCTCCCAGCCTTTCCAGTCTGCTTCCAACCGGGAGAAGTTGAGAGCCTTCATTCACCAGTTCACCCAGTTGTAACCCCCCGCACCAGAGTCATAAATGGGGCCCAGGGACCTGATGCCTTGTGGATTTATTGACCCGGGGGGGCGGGGGGGAAGGTTCTGTCTCTCCTTCCCTCACCTGGGATGGAAAATTCCATCATTTCTGGTGGTGGTGCCCAAGACAGCTCCAACCAGCACATTTCCCCCCAGCCCTTCTCTGCTCACTAACAGCAGGTCCAGTTTTCAGTAAAAACATTGGGATAAATCAAACTCTCTAACACTATTTTTTTAGTATTAGAAAGCAGGCATTAGTTTAGTCACAGTGTTGGAGTGCATGGGGATAGTTCCACTCAACATACCTACCCACTTTCAAAACTTTTCGTTATTTATACATTTTTAGCAAAGAAATTCATGTTCATTGGTTATGTTACATAATTCCCTTAAATAAGTAATATTCTATATTCTATTGATTATTACTTTCTCACTTCTCATGCTAATTAGTCCACATTTTCAGTCTTTTTATTATCTTTTTCTCAGATAGGGAGCGTTTCAGTAGACTGATTCTGAGTTCTCTTTGTTAGTGGATTTATTGATCCCACAGCGATGGGATCTGGGGGGGTCTCTCCACCGTCAGACCACGCGGTTGCAGATGGTGCCCAGCTCCTCGATCTCACACTGCACCTCGTCCCCAGGCTGCGAAGGGGCATGTGGTGGCATCTGTCCCTCGTGGGGTCCACTGTGTCCTCACTTGCCCTCCAGCCCCACCCGAGCCCCTCTTTTCCCTCACCTTAAGGAAGACAGGGGGTTTCCGAAAGAACCCCACTCCGGCAGGAGTCCCCGTCAGCAGGATGTCCCCAGGGACCAGTGTCACGAACCTGGGGGCACACAGGGGGTCAGCTGTGACCCCCTGGGCTCTGGGGGTCCCCGGCTCCCCGTTCCTACCGGGACACCCAGGCGATGAGGGCGGGCACCCCAAAGACGAGGTGGTGGGTGCTGCTGTCCTGCATTGGGCGCCCATTGATGCTGCAGCGGATCCACAGGTTGTGGGGGTCTGTGGGAGGGGACACAGGGGGACATGGGGACAGTGCCACCGTGAGCCCCACCTGGGGGAAAACACGGGGGGTTTGGGCAAATGGGGGGGTGACACCACCAGTGTCAGCTGGGAAAGAGTCCCTGTCCCATCCCATTCCTTTTCTCATCCCATTTGTGTCTCGTCCCCATCCTGTTCCCATCCCATCAGTGTCCTGTCCTTGTCGTGTCTCCATCTCTATCCCCCTCTGTGTTCCGACTGTCCCCACCCATCCCTATGTCTGTCCTGTCCTCATCCTGTTCCGCTTCTGGTCCTGTCCCCATTCCATCCCTGTCCAGATCACATCTATGTCCTGTCTCCATCCTTGTCCCCATCCCATTGCTGTCCTGTTCTTGTCCAGTCCCCATCACTGTCCCTATCCTGGCCCATCCTGTCCCCATCCCTGTCTCTACTGTTCCCAGTCCTCCCCCGTCCCACATCCATTGCTGTTCTGTCCCCATCCCATCCCTGTCCCATCCCCATCCGCGTCCCCACCTTTCACCGCCTCCCTGGTGACAAGGGCGGGCCCCAGGGGACAGAAGGTGTCAAAGGTTTTCCCCAGCAGCCACTGCCGCCCGTTGCGCAGCTGCCAGTCCCGGGCGCTCACGTCGTTGGCCACCGTGAACCCCACCACGTGCTCCAGGGCTGCCGACTCCTGCGGGGCAGTGGGACCCCCTTACAGGGGACACACACACAGGGACCCCCCCAGGCAAGGTGTGGGTGGGGCAGGGGGTACCTCGATGTGCCGCCCCCTCTTCCCAATGACAGCGGCCAGTTCCACCTCCCAGTCCACCTCCTGCGGGGACAACACAGGGGGTTGGGGGTCCCGACCCCCAGGGGGGCTGCGGGGGCAGGTCCCAGGGTACCCACGGTGCTGTCCTGGGGGAGCACGATGTCATCGAAGGGCCCGGTGATGGCGCTGGGGAACTTGCTGAAGATGATGGGCTCCTTGGGCACCCTGGCACCCTGCTCCTCGCAGTGGTCGCGGTAGTTGAGCCCCACACAGATCAGCTTCTCAGGGTCTCCCACGGGCGCCAGGAGCCGCGTGGCCCCGCGAGCCACCCGGTGCTGCCCCGACTCCAGGGCCCTGCGGGGACACACAGACCTCTGGGAGTCACCCATGTTTTGGGGCATCCACCTCTGGGGACACCTGTCCTTGGGCTCAGCCACATTTGGGGGTCACCTACCCCTGGAAGGCTGAGGGGACCTACTTCTGGGGGTCATTCAAAGGGTCACTCAGATTTGAGGGACCCTTTTTTTGGGCTCACCCACCTTTTGAGGGGACCCTATTTAGGAGGTCACCCACATTTTGGAGCACCCACCTCTGAGGGCACCTACCTTTGGGGGGAACCCACTGTGTGGGGGTCACACACTTCTGGGGGTCAGCCAAAGGGTCACCCAGATTTTGATGGACCCTCCTTTGGGGATCACCCACCCTTGGGGACACACATTTTTGGGAGTCACTCTCCTTTCAGGGGATCCTTTTTGGGTCACCCACCACTGGGGAGATCCACCCCTGGGGGGACCCAGGTTTTGAAGCACCAACCTTCAGGGATCCCCCACCTTTGGGGTACCCACCTCTGGGCGAGCTCCAGCCCGCGCGGGCCGAGCTCCAGGAACTCCCGCATGGACAGGGGCAGCGCCGGCTCGGCCGCGTTCAGATCCACCAGGTCCCCCCCGGGCGCCTCCTCCAGCCCGAGCCTGGGCCCCCCGCCCGCGGCCCCCCGGAACCGCACGAGCCGCAGAGCCCCGCGCATCCCCTGCGGAACCGGGATCGGCACCGCACCGGGGGGATCCGGGGGCTGCGGACCCCCCTCGGCCCGGGATGGATCCCGGCCAACCGGGGGGATCCCCTCCCCCCGATCCCACGCAGTTCTGACCCCCAGAATCGCCCCGATTCCAGGGCAGCCCCTCCTGGTCCCGCCCTGCTCCGATCCCTGAGGGTATCCCCCCGCTCAGCCCGATCCCAGGGTCCCCCGACTCTGCACACCCCCAGACTGGGGGAATCCGCCCGATCCCAGGTAAATCCCCGGCATCCACCCCCCTAGTTCCGCCCAGCCCCGATCCCAGGGGACATCCCCCTTATCCCACGCAGCCCCGACCGCGGGAATCCCCCCGATGCCAGAGATTCCCCCCTTAGCCCCGACCGCGGGAATCCCCCCGATGCCAGAGATTCCCCCCTTAGCCCCGATCCCAGGGATCCCTCCCCCGCAATCCCGCACAATTCCGATCCCGGAGATTCCCCCTGATGTCGTGGATTCCCCGCCCCCGTTCCCAGGATTCCCCCCATTCCCAGGGATCCTTCCCGTTCCCAATGATCCCCCCGTTCCCAGGGATCCCTCCCGTTCCCAGAGATCTCCCCGATCCCAGGGATCCCCCCTGTTTCCAGGAACACCCCCCTTTCCAGGGATCTCCCCGTTCCCAGGGATCTCCCCGTTCCCAGGTTCCCCCCCCATTCTCAGGGATTCCCCCCCCTATTCCCAGGGATTCCCCCGTTCCCAGGTTCCCCCCCCTATTCCCAGGTTCCCCCCCCTATTCCCAGGGATTCCCCCGTTCCCAGGTTCCCCCCCCTATTCCCAGGTTCCCCCCCCTATTCCCAGGGATTCCCCCGTTCCCAGGTTCCCCCCCCCGTTCCCAGGTTCCCCCCCCCTATTCCCAGGGATTCCCCCGTTCCCAGGTTCCCCCCCCATTCCCAGGTTCCCCCCCCTATTCCCAGGGATTCCCCGTTCCCAGGTTCCCCCCCCCATTCCCAGGTTCCCCCCCCTATTCCAGGATGCCCCTTCCCAGGTTCCCCCCCCATTCCCAGGTTTCCCCCCCTATCCAGGATTACCCCGTTCCCAGGTTCCCCCCCCCATTCCCAGGTTCCCCCCCCCCATTCCCAGGGATTCCCCCGTTCCCAGGTTCCCCCCCCCCGTTCCCAGGTTCCCCCCCCATTCCCAGGGATTCCCCCGTTCCCAGGTTCCCCCCCCCCGTTCCCAGGTTCCCCCCCCCATTCCCAGGGATCCCCCCGTTCCCGGTGGTCTCACACACGTTGTTCCCGCTCCGCCAGGGGGCGCTGCAGACCCGCCCCCGCCTGTCTAAAGGTCGCCGTGCTGAGGCCACGCCCCCTTCGGGCCGTCCAATGGGAGCGCGGAGAGGACGGGACCGCCCCCAACGAGGACCAATGAGAGGGGAGGGCGGAGGAGGCGGGGCCGGGGAGGGGCACCGGGTCTGGGTGGGACTGGGTTCGGAAATGGGATTGGGAGCGGGAATGGGACCATTATAGCGACTGGGACTGGGGCAGGAACTGGGATTGGGACCGGGACAGGGACTGGGACAGTGACCAGGAGAGGGACTGGGACTGGGATGGGGACTGTGTCAGGGACGGAAAGAACGACAAGGGCTGGATTAGGGGCAGGGCCAGGGAGGGGACAGGGAGAAGGACAGGGCCAGGAACTGGGATGGGGCAGGGATGGGGATGGGGCAGGGATGGGGACGGGGATCGAGGCCAGGACAGGAATGGGGACAGGGATGGTGGCTGGGACTGGGGCAGGGACTGGGATTGGACTGAGACGGGGACGGGGACGGGGGCAGGGACACTGCACAGCTGTCACGTCGCACTTGACTCCGTTTCCCCCTAAATCGTCACTACCTGGTTTATTTATAAAACAACCCCCTCTCCACGTGCTGGGGGGGGGGCTGTGGCCTCGTGGGGGTCCCCTGAGTGATGAGGGGGGAGGCGGGTCTGTGTGCTTTTGGTTGGTGTTTGGGGGCTCCATTTCATGCCTGGAGACCCCCACTTAGGAACTCCCCACGTCCCGGGGGGTCCCTTCCCTGGGGGGTGCCATCTCCAAGGGATCCTGTCCCTGAGGGGTCCCCACATCCCAGGGAGTCCCCTCTCAGGGGGTTCCTGTGTCCCAGGGGTCCCCACCCCAGGGGGGCCTGGTGTCAGGGTCCTGTTTGTGCCATGTCAGGTCCCTATGCCACCCAGGGCAGGGGGTCCTTGTCAAGGGGGGCTCAGCCCCCTGAAATGGGTCCATCTTGCATGTGCCAGTGCTGTGCTGGGGGCTCTGGTGGCAGCGTTGTCCTTGTCTCCTCCTGTCTCCGGGGGGGGCCCAGGGTCTAGAGCACGTTGTGGAAGATCTGCATGGAGCTCATGATGTCCTTGTCCTGGAGGGGAGAGGACAGAGACTCCCGTGTCCCCCTCCTCCTGTCCCCCTCCTGCCATCCCACTCCTGTCCCTCCCATCCTGCTTGCCTGTCTCCCCCCTCCTTTCCCCCCCAATCCTGTCCCCTCTCTCCTCTCCCCACCGCCCAACACCCCCCATCCCACAATTCCCATAACACTCCTCCCGTCCCTCCCTCCCATTCCTCTCCCAGCCCCCCTCCTGTTCCCCCCTCCTGCCATTCCCTTCCTGTCTCTCTCCTCCTGTCCCCCCTCCCGGGGTCACCCCCTTGTCCCCATCCCTCCTGCCCCCCCCAGCACATCACTCTGGGACAGAACTAGGAGCAGGGGGATGTCTCAGACTCCAAGGCCTGGCAGGATGGAGGAGGAGGAGGGTGGTAGTGCCCCCCAGCCCCCTGGAGTCCCCCCACCTCCTGGCAGGTCTCCAGGAACTCCTCGAAGGTCACCACACCGTCCCCGTTCCTGTCCATCTTCTGCAAGGAAGTGGCCGGGGCTGAGTGGGGGTGGGTGGCCCCGGGAGGTGGCCCCAGGAGGGGGCAGAGGGGACAGTGTCACCTGGAAGAACAGCTCCATGTGCTGGGCCGGGGCGCTGGCCCGCAGGGTGGGCTCGGTGCAGGGCCCCATCATGGCATAGATGGACTTCATGATCTCCAGCATGTCCTGGGGGCACACAGAGCACCGGCACGTCCCTCTCTGGGTGCCCCCTGCCCCACCAGCCCCCCCAGTGTCCCCCAGTGTCACCTCCTTGGTGACGTAGCCGTCCTTATTCACGTCGTAGAGGTCAAACGTCCACTTCAGCTTCTGCTGCTCCGTCCCCCGCAGCAGCACCGAGAGCCCCACGGCAAAATCCTGCCGTGGGTGTGAGCAGGGAGGGACCCCAACCCCCCTCACAGCACTCAGCCCCCCCTCCTGCTGCCACATCGATCCTGGGGCGCCCGAGGGATTTGTTCCCTATTGATCCCGTTATTTTTAACCACCACCCCTTGTGCTGCAGTGCCCCCGGCACCGCGAGGGAGAGTTCGGCCATAGCCTGGGAGGAGGAGGAGGAGAAGGAGGAGGAGGAAGAGGAGGAGGATGTGATGAATCACGCCGGGAATTCCCACCTGGAAGCACAGAGCCCCGTTGTGGTCGGCGTCGAAGGCGTCGAACAAGAGGTGGGCGTAGGAACTGGCGTCTGCAGGGCGAGGGGATGGTAACTCCCCCCGCTTTGGCAGGGGCTGTTTGTCTGGATGGGCCCCCCCAGACCCCCCCTGGCAGGTTTGGGGGCCCCCCGACTCACCGCCCTGGGGGAAGAACCGTGAGTAGATGAGTGTGAAGGTTTCCTCGTCCACGAGGCCGCTGGGACATTCCTGGGAAGGAGGTGGCGCCTGGTGACACTGGAGACCCCCAGGACCCTCGTATGTGGGGTCAGGGGGTGAGGGATCCCCAAGCTCACGTTCTTGAAGCCACGGTAGAGGGACTGCAGCTCAATCTTGGTGAAGTTGGTCCGGGCCAGGAGCTGCTCCAGCCCCTCGGGTTGGTGCCGGATAGTTGGGAGCTCCACGTCGGCATCGCTGTTGTCTGGAGAGACCCCCCGGACAAAGATCCCCCTTAAAAACACCCCCCCCGCCCTAAAGCCACCCCTATCCCCTTTAAACCACCCCCACCCCCCTAAAGCCAACCCTTCTACCCCTTAAAACCACTCCCATTCTCCCTAAAACCAACCCTCCAAACCCCTAAAACCACCTCCATCCCTGCTAAAACCAACCCCATCCCCCCTACAGCTACTCCCACGGCCCCAAAACCACCCCAGGGTGCCGTGGTGGACCCCAAAATTCCCTTTGGGCCCCTGGAACACCCCGGGTGTCGAATCCCGAGGGGTTTCCTGCATTCCGGAGGCACGGAACATTCCGGAGCCGCCTCTCCCCGGCCAAAGGTAATTAATAAATGATGGCTTATTAATAATTCCAGCCTGGGGAGCCCCCATGGAGCCTCCCGGCACAGACGGAGGGGTGGGAATTTTGGGATGGGGTTGGGACCCTGGAAAATCCCCAGGGTCCCCCCAGAGGGGTTGAACCCCCTGGGTCCTGCTAAGCCGGGTCTCAGGGGGGCTTGGGGGGCAGAAAGGGAGTGGGAGGGCCTGGTGTTGTTTTGGGGGGGTTGAGAGTCAGTGGGGGCCTGGGGGTCCCTGTGCCCCATCCCAAGGGGGCTTTGGGGGTCTCTGTGGTGGCAGAGCCCCCCAGCTCGGGGGGAGGGGGGGGTTAACAGCAGCTCAGAGCCGCCCCCTCCCACCTCGGGGAGGTTTGGGGGTCCCTGTTATCTGTTAACAGGGAGTGGGGGCACCTTGGGAGGGACAGGGGGTCTCTGGGGATGAGTTTTTTGGGGGCAGCACTGGCATAGCCCCCCGGGGAAGGTCAGAGCAGGGCTGGGCCAGGACACTCCAATGGGGGGCTGGAGGGGGTCTGGGGGGACCTGCCCTTTCCACCACCCCCCAAACCCTCAGCCTTCACCCCAAACCCTCCCGGGGGGGAACTCCAAACCCGGCTGGTTGGACCTCAGAGGGCCCGACAGGTCACTGATGGGGGGAGGGATGGGAGGATTAATTAACTCAATAATTAGGGTTCATTAAGGTTATAACTGGGGGGTACCTTCCATGGAGATGGGCTCCAGGATGCCGAACTGCTTGAGCACGGCGATGAAGAGGAGGATGACCACGGCCACGGCGCACAGCTCCATGCCCTGGATGCCCATGGCCCCCGGGGGGGCTTGGGGGGTCCCCCCCAGACCCCGGCAGGGTGTGGGCAGTGGGTGCTGCGGGAGCACAGGGCGGGTGTTGTGCCTGCCTGTGCCCGCCTGTCCTGCCTCCTCCTCCTCCTCCTCCTCCTCCTCCCTTGGCACTCGCCCACCCCCCTGGCCCCCCCCGGCGCTGCTTTCCCAATTTTATTTTTAGCCCCCTCCCTCCCCCTGAAGGATTTGGGGGGGCCCAGGGGTGCTGCCCTCCCCTCCCCGCAGCACCCCGGGCTTGTGGCTGCACAGCCGGGGGGTCAAACCAGCGCCGGCCTCAAAACTGGGGGGGAAAAAGGTTGTTTTGTCCCCCCTCACCCCCGGTGGGATCGATAGGATCGATGGGGATGAGTAAGCAGCGAGGGAGGGGGAAACTGAGGCAGGGGAAGGGGCGGGGGGCTGGCCCTGTGCCCCCAGGGCTGTCCCCACCCCTCCAGGGCTGTCCCTGCTCTGGAGACATGAGCCCTGTCCCCCCAGATCTGTCCCGAGGGTGTCCCTGTGCCCCCAGGGGTGTTCCGTGGTCCTGGGGAGATTGTCCCTGTCCCCCCTGGGGCTGTTCTGTCCCCAGAGCCCTGGGACAATCTGTCCCCATCCCTCAGGGGGAGGTCCCTGCTCCTGGGGACATCGGCCCTGTCCCCCCTGAGCTGTCCCTGTGTCCCCGGGGTGTCCCTGTCCCCGCATGGCCCCAAGGCTCCAGGAATGTCTCTCTGCAGTGTCCTGGGCTGGTCTTGTCCCCAGAGTTCCAGGGACATTGTTCTTGTCACCTTGAGGGTGTCATCGTGGTTCTGGGGACATTGGCCCTGTCCCCCCAGGGCTGTCCCTGTCCCTATCCCTCGGGGTGTCCCACCCCCATGGCTCCCAGGACATCATTCCCATCCCCCCCCCCCCCCCGGTGTCCCTGGCCCTGTTCTCCCCTGGGACTCTCAGTCCCCAAGGCCCCAGGACCACCTGTCCCCATCCCTCTGGAGGTGTCATGTCCCCATGGTCCCCAGTTCTTTGTCCCCCTCCTCCAGGGCTGTCCCACCCCCGTGGTCCCAGGGACATTGTCCCATCCACCCTGAGGTGTCTTCGTCACCTCCAGGGGATCCTTGTCCCCCCTCCCACCCCCCTCGGGAACACTGTCTCTGTCCCCCTGGGGGTTGTCCCTGTCCCTCTCCAGGTGCTCCCATCCCCAGCTTCTACCTCAGGGGCACAGTCCCTGTCCCCCCAGGAGTGTCCCCACAACCCCCAGGGTTCCCCTGTACCCCCAGAGTGTCCCTGCCCCCTCATGGGCTGTCCCCATCCCTGTCCCCCCCAGGCTGTCCCCATCCCTGTCGCTCCCTGGGTGTCCCCAACCTTGACCCTGTCCCCCCCGGGCTGTCCCTGTCGCCCCCTGGGTGACCCCATCCCTGCCCCCGTCCCTGTCTCCTTCGCGCTGTCCCATCTGCCTCCGCCCTCGGTGACCCCCGGCGGCCGCACTGGGGGCGTGTCCCAGAAGGAAGGCGTGGTTTTGTTTCTAAGGGGCGTGACCCAGGGAGAGGCGTGGTTCCGCCTTGGGGCGTGGTCAAGCCCCGGGGGCAGGCTCCGCTCACCGCCCGCCGTCCCGATCCCGCGTGACGTCATTTCCGCTTCCGCTTCTGCAGCGGAAGAGCCGGTGCCGCCATGGCCTCAAGGTTACTGCGGGTGAGCGCGGCCCTGCGGCTCCTGCCCGGCGCCTCCGCCCGCGCCGCGCCCGCGCGCCAGCTCGGCGTGCCCGGTGAGCGGGGACCGGGGGGAGGGCGGTGCGGGGGGGGCGCGAGGGAGGGGGCGTGCGGGGCCGCAGGGGGGGAGCGGGCGCGGTGTCCGTGCCTCCCCCCCCGTGTGACCGCGGTCCGCAGGGAGCCTGGCCAGCGATGAAGAACAGGCGACTGGGATGGAGAGGAAGGTCATGGAGGCCCTGAACAAGGGCCTGGTGAGTGCGGGGGCACCCGGGGAGGGCGGGGGGTCTTGGGGAACTCGGGGGGGTCTGAGGAGGTTTCGGAGTTCGACTGTTCGGGGGGGAGGAGGGGCGTCTTGGGGGCGTTTGGGGGTCTCAGGCGGTTCTAGGGGGCTCAGGGGCGGCGAAGGAGGGTCTGGGGTGGTCTCAGGGTCTGACGAATACAGGAGGGTTAGGGTTAGGCTCAGGGGCGGCGAAGGAGGCTCAGGGGGTGGGAGGGGGCGTCTGGGGGGGGTTGGTGTTTTTGGTGGGGACAAGGTGTGTTGTTGGGGGAGGTCTCGGGGGGGGCTGAGGGTCTCAGAGCTGGGGGATTCTTGGGAACAGGGAGCTGGGGGACCCCAGGTGGTGGGGGTGGTGAGTTTCGGGGGGGTCTCAGGGTCGGGGGGTGAGGGTGGTGAGTCTGGGGGGTGTCAGGGTGTCTCTGGGGGGGGTACCTGTCCCACGGGTGCCCTCCTGACCCCCCTGCCCCCCAGGACCCCTACAGCATGTTCCGGCCCAAACGCTATGCGGGCACCAAAGAGGACCCGAATCTCGTGCCCTCCATCACAAACAAACGCATCGTGGGCTGTGTCTGTGAGTGACCCTGTCCGTGTGTCTGTCCTGTCTGTGTGTCTGAGTGACCCTGTCCGTGTGTCCCTCCTGTCCCTGTGTCTGTGAGTGAGTGACCCTGCTGTCTGTGTGTCCCTCTGGTCTGTGTGTCCATCCTGTCCCTGTGTCCGCGTGTCCATCCTTGTTCCCATGTCCATGTGTCTGTCCTGTCCCTGTGTCCATGCCCTGTTCCCACGTTTCTGTCTCTGTTCCCGGGCCCCATTCCTGTCCCTGTGTCCATGCCCTGTCCCACTCTGTCCCTGTCCCCAGGTGAGGAGGACAACAGCTGCGTGGTTTGGTTCTGGCTGCACAAGGGCGAGGCCCAGCGCTGCCCCTCCTGTGGGGCCCACTACAAACTGATCCCCCACGAGCTGCCCCACTGAGGGGGGCTGTGGGACCCCCCCCGGGGCCCTGCTGAGCCCCCCCTGCACCTGAGCCCACGATAAAGAGATGGTGGGGAGACCCTGACTCTGTGTGTGCTGGGGGTGCAGCAGGGTGGGGAGGGGGGGCAACTGCTGTGTGGAGCCAGGCCAGGCCGTGAAGGTGTCACTGTGAGTGACCTGGGGCTGTGGGAGGGGGGTTGTTGAGGGACCCCCTTTCACTGTCCCTCTTCCCTGGGGGGTGCTGGGATTTGAGAGGCAGCTGGGGTACAGCTGCTGGGGGGTCTCAGGGGTACTATTTTGGGCCTCCCTGCCCAGCCTGGGGGATCACCCACCCCAAAAGAAGACCCCAGAGGGGGCTGGGTTACCCTCTTAGCCCTCCCACACACAAGTGTCTCCCCAGATGCCTCTGTGGGGGTCTCTCTGTTCACATGGGAGAGGCACAGCTGGACACATCCTTGGGGGGCATCACCTGCCCCAGGGGTGACACCCCATTGGGCGGGAGCCTCCTGGGGACACTGGGGGAGCCCTGGGGGCTGGTCCTGCCCTGGCACCTCTGAGGGCACCTGGGAGGCTCCACAACACCCCTGGGAGTCCCTGAAGGTTCTCATGAGATCCCAGGAGGCCCCAATAAGTCCATGAAGGTTCCCATAAGGTCCCCAGTGGGTCCCTTGAGTTCCCCAGAGGTTCTCAGGAGATCCTGCGGGGTCCCTGGAAGTCCCTCAGCAGGCCCCCACAGGATCTGGATGCTGCAGCTCTGCCCTTGTATCACACATCCCCAGGGCGGGGGGTCAGGTTGTACCCTCCCAGCCCCACTTAGGGGCCCTGTGGGGGCCCAGGGAGGACCTGGAGGCTGCCGGATCCCCAGCCTGTCCCCTGTGCTGCTGATGTCACCAGTGACATCAGACTGGGTGGTCATGATGTCATGCACCCCCGGGGGGAGGGGCTCTGATCCTCACCAGCTGATGGGGACTGTGGTGGCCATGACTGACAGCCAGGGGTGGGGCCTGCCTGGTGGGGCGGGGCTCCAGCCTCACTGAACAATAGGAGCTGGTGGAGGCTGTGATTGACAGCAGGAGTGGGTGGGAACCTGCAATTTATGGGACTGTGCTGGGAGGGGAGGGCGGGGCTTGGGGCTCACCAACCAATCGGTGCTGCTGGAAGCCCTGACTGACAGCCAGGGGGTGCGACTTTAGGCCTCAGCCAATGGGGAGCTGGGCTAGCTGTGAGGGACAGCCGGGGGGGCCGGGCTGTGCACTCAATGGAACTCGAGTGGAGAGGTGGTGGGGCGGGGCTTGATGGGGGAGGAGCCCTCGATCTCATTGACCAATGGGGGCTTGTGGCGGCCGTGACTGACAGCTGGAGGGCGGGGTTTATGCTCAATGGAAGCGGTGGGAGGCGGGGCTATGCCGGGGCGGTGCTCTGTGCCTCTCTGACCAATGGGGGCCGGCGGCGGCCATGACTGACAAGCAGGGACGGGCGGGAGCCTGCGACTGAGGGAGTGGGGAGGGGCAGGTGCTGCGGGGCGGGGCTTCGGGGCTCACCGACCAATCGGGGCCGTGTTGACCGTGACTGACAGCGGGGGGGGCGGGGCCCCGGGGGGCGGGGTCTCATTGACCAATGGAGGCCGCAGGCGGCCATGACTGACAGAGGGGGGCGGGGCCTGCCGGGGGCGCGCGGGGACGCGGCGGGCGGGGCTCTTCCCCCCTTGCCCCCCCCGCGCACGTGACGGCGGCGGTGCGGCGGTGACGTCATCGGCGGTGTCGCAGCGGGGCCGGAAGCGGGCGGCGCGCGGGGCGGGCGGACAAGATGGCGGACGGGGACAGCGGCAGCGAGCGCGGCGGCGGCGGCGGCGGCGGGTTCGGGGCCGCCCGTGGCGGGGCGGGGGGGGCCGGGCCCGCGGCGGGGCCCGGCGGCGGCGGCGGCGCGGCCGGCCCCGAACAGGAGACGCAGGAGCTGGCGTCCAAGCGGCTGGACATTCAGAACAAGCGCTTCTACCTGGACGTGAAGCAGAACGCCAAGGGCCGCTTCCTCAAGATCGCCGAGGTGGGCGCGGGCGGCTCCAAGAGCCGCCTCACGCTCTCCATGGCCGTGGCCGCCGAGTTCCGCGACTACCTGGGCGACTTCATCGAGCACTACGCGCAGCTGGGCCCGTCCAGCCCCGAGCAGCTCGCCCAGGCCGCGGGGCCGCCGGGCGAGGACGGCGCCGGGCCCCGCCGCGCCCTCAAGAGCGAGTTCCTGGTGCGGGAGAACCGCAAGTACTACCTGGACCTGAAGGAGAACCAGCGCGGGCGCTTCCTGCGCATCCGCCAGACCGTGAACCGCGGCCCGGGCGGCCCGGGGGGGTTCGCGGGGGGCCCCCCGGGGCTGCAGAGCGGCCAGACCATCGCGCTGCCCGCCCAGGGCCTTATCGAGTTCCGCGACGCGCTGGCCAAGCTCATCGACGACTACGGCGGCGAGGAGGACGAGCTGGGTGGCCCCGGCGGCGGCGGCCCGGGCGGCGGGGGGCTCTACGGGGAGCTGCCCGAGGGCACGTCCATCACCGTGGACTCCAAGCGCTTCTTCTTCGACGTGGGCTGCAACAAGTACGGCGTGTTCCTGCGGGTCAGCGAGGTGAAGCCGTCCTACCGCAACGCCATCACCGTCCCCTACAAGGCCTGGGCCAAGTTCGGCGGCGCCTTCTGCCGCTACGCCGAGGAGATGCGCGACATCCAGGAGCGCCAGCGGGACAAGCTCTACGATCGGCGCGCCGGCCCCCCTGGGCCCGGCAGCGGCAGCGGAGCCGGCGACGACTCTGACGGCGACGACGTGGACGACGACTGAGCCGACCCCCACCCCCTCGACCCCCCGACGCCGGCCCCCTACCGCCCCCCCCCCGAGCCCCGGGGCAGAGGGGCCCCCGATCCCCCCTCCCAGTGACGGGGCAGAGGGGTTCCCAAACCCCCGAGTCTCCTCCCCCAAAACAGCAATGGGGCAAAGGGATCCCCGAGCCCACCCCCCTCCCAGCGACAGGGTGAAGGGGTCCCCAAACCCCCCTATGCCCCCGCTCCCAGCAACGGGATGAAGGGTCCCCGAGCCCCCCCCCGGCAGTGGTGGGGCGCGGGGGTCTCCGAAACACCCCCCGAACCTCCTGCAGCCACCGGAGAGAGAAACCGGCCCGACCGCGCCGCTGCCCGCGGCTCCTCCCCCTGCTCTGTCCCCGCCGTGGGCCCCCCAAGACTCGCTGCTTTGGGGAGGGACAGGGGCTCACCCGCAGCCCCCTCTCCTCCCGATGCCCCCCATTGAAACCAGCACCGAGGGCCCTGGAGCCGGGGGGGCAGCCGCGGCGCCGGGGGGGCAGCAGGGGCACCTTGGACCAACGGCCGTTCCCTCGGCTTGTGATTTTTCCTTCGTTCTCTTTTTTTTTTTTCTCCCTCCTTTTTCTCCTCTTTCCACGTTGTTTTTTTTTTTTTTTTTTTTTTGTCGGTTTTTTGGGATGCAAACTGCAAACTCCGGGCACCCGAACTGGAACCTGCCCCGAGCCGGCGCGGAGCTGCGGCTCCCTGACAATTAGGGAAGATCTCCTCGGTTTTGCCGATTTCAGACCGTTCCCCCCCCCTCCAGTTTCCCGCCGGGAAGGGGGAGGCGCCGACACAAAGCACAAGGAAAAGCTCGACGGGGCGAAACATCTTCCCCTTCTCTCCAAATAAGGCGCCTCCGGCCCCGATTCACCGGGACCCGCCGGAATCCGCCCCTTGGCTTCACCCAAATTGGATTTTCCGGCCCCAAACCCGTGGCCGCGCCCGGCCTCGGCCCCTTGGGGGTGGTTTTAGGGGGGTTATTGTTATTTTTTGCCTCTTTTTGTCTTTTTTTGCCCCCCCCCCCGGGCCCGGCCCTGGCGCCGCCTGATCCCTCCAGCCACCTCCTATTAAACACATTTTTCCACTCTCAAACAGTCTTTTTTTAAATTCTTTTTCACTCCCTTGGCTCAGTCCTGCCCTGTCCAGAATTCCACTTTTTCACCCCATTTTCCCAGAACTCTGAACTCCATCACTCTCATTCCAAAGTTTTGCCTCTTCTTCTCCTCCAACGGTTTCACCACTTTTAGGACTTTTTTTTTTTTCGCTTTTAATCCATTTTTGGGAGCCCGCTCAGCTGCCTCCTTAATTTATTACCACGGATCCGGCATCTCCCTCTCTCCGTATTTATTGGGAAGTGAGGAACAGCCGCAGACCCCTGGGGGTCCATCCGTCCGTCCGGCTCCGGCCCTGTCCTGCTGCTCCCGCCGCCGTTGCTCTTTTTAAAGGGATTTTTAAAGCGAGTTTCTTCCATTTATCCCGTTTTTAAAGCCTTCTCCGTCGCAAAGGACCCGGATCCCTCACTCACACGGGAGCAATAGTCCTTCCTCGGTGGCCGACGTGTCCGTACTGTATTTTGTACCCTCAGGCAGCTCTTTCCGGTGAATTCCTGCTGTATCCACCCATCCTCCTGGTCCTGTGTTCTTTGCCACGGAGAAAATCCAGAAACCAGAACGGCGACAACGGATTTGGGGGGAAAAAAAAACGCTCCCGGCTCCGCGGGACTCACCGGCGTCCGGCCGCGGGACCTCTCCTTTTATTTTTGAAGAGGATGATATATATATATATATATAAAAAAATATATATATATTCCTTTGGTTTTTCTTTCTTTTGGCTGAATTGCGGTGATTTAGCCTTATTTCTATGTCGGGAGAGTGGCGGAGTCGCTGCCGGCCCGGCCCAGCTCTGGGGAGCTGGCTAGAAATACATGGAAGAGAAAAAAAAACAAACAAAAAAAGGCAAAACCACCAAAATCTGATAATAAACCCAAAAAAGCAGCTCCTGGCGTCGGCTCCGGGAGCCTTTCCCAGCCGGAGAAGTGCTGGATCCATGGACACAACGTCCCGCAGCTCCATTTGGGTGGGAAGAGCAGAGAGCGTCGGGGGAAGACAGCGGAAAAACCAGCCAAAATGAGATAAAATTGGGGGGAAAAGGGGGTTTGAGGGGAGCGGCGGCCCAGGGGGGCTGCGGGGGAGGGGGTTTGGGGCAGTTTGGGGGTTTTTTCTCTCTTGGAGCCCCCCAGGAGCCGGTGGGTGTTTCCCAGGAAAGCAGGACAGTGCCGGCATCTCCCCTGGGCCCCTATTCCCATCTCTGTGTGTATAGACATGGCCGTGTGTACATAGATCAGAGTTGGTTGGGTTTGGGTTGAATTGTGTAGAAAACGGGCAAATTGCTTTTTTTATTATTTTTAAACCACAAGTGGGGGGGGAAAATATCCCAAATTCCTGGTACTTCCAGCTTTGTTGCCCCAGAAGGGCCAATGGAGAGCGTGACGATGGCTGTACAGACAGAAAGTTGGGAATCCTGTCCAGTGCCCCAAAACCCGCTAGAAATGCCCCAAATGGCCAGGCCTGGGGCCAGCAGCACCTCCAGGGGAAGTTCAAACAGCTTCAATTCCTTTTGTCCTAAAAAATATGGAAGAAAATCGGGATTCTCCTGCCTTGTTTCCAGGCGATTTGTGGGCGGCAGAGGATGGGATGGGTGGGGCCGTGCCAGTGGCGGCTCCTTGAGTTGGTGACAAACCAACCCCAACCCCTTGCCAGCCTCTCTTGTAAAAAAGCAAAAAGTGGAAAAAAATCGCAAAAAACTGGAAAAGATAAAAAAAAAAAGCAGCTGAGGGAGCCCTGGGGGTACATGGAGTGGCGCCTCAGGGAGCTCGGCAGGTCCTCCCAGTGGGAAATCCCAGGCGGCTCCGTGGATGCTCCCGGGTGTTCCTGCAGGGCGAGGCCGTCGCCCTCATCAGCTCTTGGAGCCGGTTGAGCCAGTGGTGCCGGAGCCAGGGTTGGGTGTCAGTGGGACAGCCTGGATCCGGGCAGGACGGCCCAGAGCCCACGGGGTCGAGGCCCCAGAACAGTGGCCCGGGGGGCTCCAGCCTTGGAGCAGCGGCTGGGAGCGGGTCCAGCATGGGCAGCTCCCCCGGCACCTCTGGGGCAAAGAACGGGCCAGGAGATTGGACAAATGTCAGTGGGGGAGCACTGGATCCTCCTCCAAGAGCCACATCTTCCAAGAGCCAGATCCTTCTCTGGGACCTGGATCCTCCTCCAAGAGCCAGATGCTCCAAGAGTTGGATCCTCTGATGGCTGGATCCTCCAAGAGCTGGATCCTCTAAGCACCAGCTCTCCACTGAGTGTTGGATCCTCCTTCCGGCATTGGATCCTCCTCCAAGTTGGATCCTCTGAGAGTTGGATCCTCCAGGTGTCAGACCCTTCTCTTCGAGCTGGATCCTCCTCAGAGAGTTTGATCCTCTGAGAACTGGATCCTTGGAGCGCTGGATCCTCCTCTGAGTCCCGGATCCTCCTTGGAGAGCTGGATCCTCTGAGAACTGGATCCCCTGAGTGCTGGATCCCCCTCCGAGCAGCAGATCCCCCGGGAGCGCCGCCTCCCTGAGTGCTCGCCCCGATGTCCCTTTGCCGAAAAGAGAAAAAGAAAAAAAAAAGAAAGTTTTATTCCTGTTATTTTTTTAATGAAAGAAAAACAAAAACTAAAGCAAACCTGCACTTTAGGCGGCCGGGGGGGTCGGGGCCCCCGTGTCCTTTCCCTGCGGCCGGGGGGCGGCTCCGGGGGCCGGAGGCAGGTCCTGGGTGTTACCACTAGCGCAGACGAGGCCGACGCGACGAACTCCTCCTGCTCCAAGCACTCCTGACGTAGCAGATTTTTGCAAATGGAGTTTTACAGTCTATATTTAAAGAATTGTATGTTTGTAACAAATAAAGTATGCGGAAAAGTGAATGAAAAACCAGCCTGGGCCTGGCTCGCTCCTTGGGGGGGTCAGGGAGGGGTAGCTGGTGCCACCGTTGGGGTGAGGGGCGGGTGATCACCCTGGAGTGTTGTGGGGACGTTGTGGGGTGGTGTGAGGGTGTGAGGTGGCACAGACAGGGCACGTGGGGTCCCCCACCTTGTCCTGAGGGGTGTCCCCGAGCAGGGCGGGGGGGCTGGAAGGTGTGAGGGACCGGCATGGGAAGAGAGGGAGGAGGTTTGGCGTGTTCAGGTGTGTGTCAGGGGTGTGCACCATCACAGGGCTGTGTGGGGTGTGTAAGGTAAGGTGCGTGTACCACCACACGACTGTGTGGGGTGTGTCAGCTGTGTGTAGGGCACATGTGCCACCACACAGCTGCCCGGTGTGGGCAGGTGTGAGGCTGGGTGGGTCTGGCGTGGCACAGGCGTGGGGGGTGTGCGTCACGGCTCAGGCGGGCACGGGCACGGACACAGGGTGTGCGTACGGGGGGTAAGGCTTCTGTGCCGCTCTCACGGCTGCGTGCAGTGTGTGTCAGGTGTGTATGTGCTACCCCGTGTCCCCTCCGTGCCCTGCCGTGGGTGCCGCAGCCCCCGCCCCCCGCGCTGCGGCTCCCTGCGGGCTCGGGCTCATCTGAGGACACGCGGGGACCCGCCTGCGCATGAGCCGCCACCGCCGTCACTGTCACCGGGGCCCGGCGCGACCCCCGCTCCCCCCGCGGCCCCTCCCTGCCCCGAGCCCCCCGGGGCCGAGCGGAGCAGCTGCTCCGGCCCCATCCCGGGACCCCCCGCAGCTGCTCCGGGCGGAGCCGGGGGTCGGGGGGCCCTGGGACTGCGGCGGAGGCCCCGGGGCAGCCCTAGGGATCCCCGGGCCGCGGCAGTTGCTGCCCGGGGCAGCTGCAAGCGGTGTTGCCCCCCTCGGGGGTACCGGGAGCAGCTGCGGGATGGGGGGCTAGGGGCCCCCCTGAGCCCTCCCGGCAGCTGCAGCGAGGGGTGGGGGCTGCGCGGGGCCCTCCGTGCCAGAGGGAGCCTGAACCAGGCGCCCCGGGGGTGACAGTGACAGCGACAGGTGCCTTCCTTGTCCTCCTCCTCCTCCTGCTCCGGCCGTGGAGCAGCCGGGGGCAGGGCGGGGGGGCTGGAGGACCCCTTGAGCCCCCCCGGCAGCTGCAGCGGGGACAGTGCCCCCCACCCCTGCCCGGAGCTGGGGGCGAACCGAGGCACCCGGGGGACAGGGCCCGTGCCGGGGGGGGCCCCGGGCTCCCGGCCCTGCCCGGCAGGACCCTGGCTCGGGAATCCCCCGTTCCATTTATAAACCCACCTCGTCACACCGTCAGGTTCCTTTTGACGCCTAAACGGGCTCGGGTGCGAGAAATTTATTTCCCGTGACACGTTTGCTTTTAAAACCCGCACCTACAGGGCGTTCCGGGGGCTTTGATCACATTTTGATCCCTGCTCTCAGCACTGACTATGCCTTCGGCCTCTCGGGGTCCTCCCGAGTCCCCAGGGTGCTGCGGGGTCCGTGTTACCTCCCTGCCGCTGCCCTTCTCCCTCACCCTACGGGGTAGCACCCGGATGGATGTGGAAAACACAGAGGACGGTCAGAGGCACCGCTGGGCCGCGGTGTCCCCGGGCGGACACCCCTCCCGCCGGGGGCTCCCCCGGCCTCGCGCAGGGCCGGACCCTGTCGGGAGCAGAGCCCCCGGCTCGGAGGGACCGTCTGTGGGTGAGACCATCCTGGCCCCACCGGTACCGGGGGAACCAATGCCCCCCCCCTCCTTCTTCTCTCAGCGACACCCGCGTCCGCCCCCCCCGCTCCCCTCACACAAACACAGTTGGGGCGGGGCCTCAGAATGGGCGGGAAACCCCTGCCCGCCTTCCATTGGCTTCCGCAGATGTCCGTCACCTTGACCCCGCCTCCCATCCCAGTGTCCGCCGTTTTCATTAGCCGGGAGGTGACGCCACCGGCGCGCGCATGCCCCGCCCCGCCCCTCACCCCGCCTGCGTGCCGTGTGCAAAAAGCAACACAGCCGTTAAACGAGCCACGGGGCGGAGCCAGCCGGGGACGGGGCAAAGAAGCTTCGCTCCTATTGGTGGCGGCTGCATATTCAAACTAGTATTAGAGGCGCTGATTGGTGCGAGCGCGGCGCGGCCCGCCGCCCCCGCCCGGGCGGGTCATTGTCTGGCGGCTCCCGAGGCGGGTCGGGCGCGGCGGCGGTTCCGGGACTCGGACGGCGGCGGCGGCACCATGGTGAGGGTGGGGGGGTCCTGGGGCCGTGGGGGGCTTAGGGGGGGCCGGGGCAGCATGGCCGCGGCTGCCGCTGTCAGCCCGGGCCGCGCTCCGTGACCTTGGGCCCGGCCCGGCGCTACCCCGGGGGCCGGCCTGTGGGGAGAGAGGTGGTCAGGCCCCTTAAATCCGGTGTCCTTCCGGCGCTTTCAGAGCGGCCCCGTGTCCGCCGTTACCGCGATTTGTGTCGGTCACCGGGGGGGAAATGTCAAGCGAGGGCCCCGAGCGGCCTCTGTCATCGGTTCCGCGCCTCCCCCGGGATCCCGGAGAGATCCCAACGCGCTTCCAGAGGGAAGGGCCGGGCCTGAGGGGGAGGCAAACGGGGGTTCGTCCCCCCCGGTGCCCCAGTCGTGTGACCCCGGCGGGAGCGGCGGTGACGCTGTCACCGGGGGAAGCGGGCGGCTGGGGTTCCGGAGGGTCTGAGAGGTTCCGCGCAACTGCAACGTGGTTTGGGGGGTTCTGAGGGTCCGTGGGGGCCTTCGGGGTTCCGTGCGCTCACAGAGGACCCGGGGGCTCCGCGGATCCGCGCGGGGGTTTCTGTGGTTCTACGGGGGGATTCGGGGGGTTCTGGGAGTCCTTTTGGGGGTTCCGTGATTCTGTAAGATGTTCTGTGGGCCCCCACAGGGGTTTCGGGGGGTTCCGTAGATCCGCGGGGCAATTCTGTGGATTCACAGGGGGTTTGGGAGGTCCTGTGGATCCCCATGGGAGTTTGGGGTCTGAGGGGGAAGGGGCGTTGGATGGGTCCTCTAAACCCCCAGGCGTTTTCTGTGGATCTGCAGGGGGATTTAGGGGGCTCTGGGGATCCCCAGAGGGGGTTCCGTGGCTCTGTGAGAGATCTGTGGGGGAGTTCTGTGGATCCGCGGGGGTTCCGAAGTGGGCGAAAAAGGCCCTGATCCCGCGGCGTTTACATGGAAACACCGTCACCGTCGGATTATACAACTCCCACCGCCGAGAACTTGTGCTCGGGGATATCTGGGATGTGCGGCACGAGATAAAAAGTTGCTGTTTTAAGCAACAAGAAGAAGGAAAAAAGAAAGTGGTTTGCTTGGTCCAGCGGGTCAAATCCAGGGAGGGGTTGGCACGGGAATGTGCTCCCAGTGAGGGGCTGGGGTGGGAAAGAGGGACAGATGCGACGCAGGGATTGTCTCAGCCCCCGGGAGCCCCGGTTCCTGAGGAGGAGGAGGAAGGAATCCTCGGGATTCCCTCCTCAGGAGAGAAGAGTCCGGGAGCCCCGGGGGCAGCTGGAACCTCGTGTGTTCCCTCTGCCAACCCCGCGGAGGGTTGGAGAAAACCGGGACAAACCTCGGGATTTCGGCGGCGACCTTTTCTTCCCAGTTTTTAGTCAACGCCCCCCCCCGTAAAGATCCGCCAGGCAGGTGGCTCCCAGCTGGAAAACCTGACGGAGAAGTGGGAAAGTTCACAGCTGGCTGATAAAAGCCCTCAGTGGGAACAGCCAGTGCTTTTCCCAGAGCTGTGTTTTATTCCTAGAGCAAGGGAATATCCCTAAATCCCCCTTGCCTCCTCCTTCCCTCCCCCAAATCCCCCATCTCTCCCCCCAAATCCTCCTTCTCTCTCCAAATCCACCCAAATCCCCCCTCTCTCCCCCCAAATCCCCCTCCCTGGGTTTTGCAGTTTTATGGAGTGATGTTTTCTCTGTATAAAAGTAACTCCCGGTGCTTCCCTGTTTTTCTGAGTCATCCCTGAAGGCCCTCCTGTCCCAAGTGCCAGGACACAGAGGGGTTTGCCAGGGACCAGCATTCCCACAGCTGGATCCCAGCATTCCTGGAGCCAGATCCCCCCCAGCCTCACCCCATGCCCGCCACTCATTTAATCACCTCGAGATTAATTAATTCCTGCTCGTGATTATTTTTTTCCCAATGTTTGAGCTGGAAGAGGTGTTAACTCCCACCTAGCTGGGCTGGGATGCAGATCTTGGACATTCCCAGGTTAACCAGCATCTTGTTTTGAGGATTAACGAGCTCCGCTCACTCTCCTGGGATCTCTGGGTCCTTTCAGCTCCCTCACCATGAGCCAAAACTCCTCCTTTTTAGGGGGGATGGGGGTTGTGGGATCAATATGTGCTGTAAAAACAGGGATTACGAGTATCCAGTGTGTTTTCAGGCTCTGCTCTCCCTCTGCTATGGGTTTTTGGCTCTCTGTGGGCTTGAAAACCTGACACGGGGGATTATTTTTCCTGTTCTTTCTTACCTAGAGCAGATTTGGGGGTGCTGACGTGCTCCCCGTGGAAGGTGCAGCTCCCTCTGCCCTCCTGCAGCTCCCACCTTCATTAGGAGCAGCTCTCATTAGTGATCAGTGATGTCACAGAGTCTTCCCATGTCCCTGCAATCCATGGATTTCCTGAGGGCGGATGGGAGAGCCCGGCAAACCTTGTTCCTGAGTGACTCCCAAACTCTTGGCTTTGGCATTTCCACCCCCCAAACACGATTTTCATTAAATGTGGGATTTCTGGGGCTCCCACATGATTTCCCACCCTGGAGCAGGAAGGGAGTTACCTCTGAATCCCACAGGATTCACATTCCCACCTACTGGAACAGTGTCCTGCCCCACACCCCGTGTCAGCACGTGGAGAAATTGAATCTTAAATAAAAATAGGCTCACAACTGCTGGAAAACAACGGTCAACAATGGGGATTTTGGGATGCTTTCCCCCCCATTTGGCATTTTCTGGAAAATTACGGGACTGGGACACTTGGGGGAAGGAGCAGCTGCTGCTCCTCAAAACCCCCCTTGTCCCCTCGGATCCAGGCAGTTCGAGAAGCCTCGAGTTGCCAGGGAGCTGCTGGATTATCCTGCTGCAGGTCCCTCTGGCTTAGAATTAACGAGATTGTTTGGATTCGGGGATTAATTAGATTAATTAATGCGGCCTTTCTCCCCCAGGCTGGCGGCAAGGCGGGCAAGGACAGCGGCAAGGCCAAGGCCAAGGCCGTGTCACGCTCCCAGAGAGCAGGCCTGCAGGTATGGCACAGGGAATCGTTGGGAAGCGGGAATTCTGGGGGGCCCAAACCCTTTGGTTTGAGGTGAAAGCTGAATATTGTGGGATTTGGGGGATTATGGAGCGATGAGGAGCCCTGGGCTTGCGGAGGGGAGAGGGGGTTTGCTCTCGGGTGAGACAGAGAGGGTGGGAGGATTAATTGGGAGAATTAATGATTGTAATTATTAAATATTAACTATAATTATTAATTATAAATAAGGCACAATTACATTATTTAATGTTCTGTAAGGTTACATCTTGTTATATTATTGCAATATGATAATATATTAGTATATCATAACAATACAGTGTGTTATAACATTAATATACATATTATGTGGGTTAGTAATAAATAAATAAATTTGGTAATGGCAGTTAAATCCTCTATTTGGGGAGGATCGTGTCGAGTTGCTCCTGGAAGCCACAGTCAGGCAGGATGGGGAGTTTCCCGGGCCCAAATAGAATGTGTGTTACATTATATAATTAAATATATTATATATAAATACAATAATCAATATAAATGCATTATATATATTAGACAATAATGAATAATTAATTCGGGTAATGACAAATCCTCTGTTTGGGGAGGATCATGTCGAGTTGCTCCAGGCAGGCAGGGTGGGGTCTCTCTTTTGCCCAAATCATAGGGGGCTGTGGGTGTTAATGAGGTTGTTAATTGCCCCCTCCCAGTTCCCTGTCGGCCGCATCCACAGGCACCTGAAGACTCGGACCACCAGCCACGGGCGCGTGGGGGCCACGGCGGCCGTGTACAGCGCGGCCATCCTGGAGTACCTGACCGCCGAGGTAGGACCCCCCTCCCCGGGGCCAGCACCCCTCCCCCCCGGCATTCCCACCTCTTCCTGCTGTCCCACAGGTGCTGGAGCTGGCCGGGAACGCTTCCAAGGACCTCAAGGTGAAGCGGATCACGCCCCGGCACCTGCAGCTGGCGATCCGTGGTGACGAGGAGTTGGACTCCCTGATCAAAGCTACCATCGCCGGTGGAGGTGGGGCTCCTTCCCTCCTTTCTGTCCTTCAGTGGGAATGACGTGGGAAAACAAACAGGAGTTTGGCAGTGGGGGTAATTCCACTGGCTCCATGCTTCCCTGGATCCACACTGGGTAGGGGGGGATCCGCTCAACATTCACACTGTTATCCCAAAACTCTGCTGGGAATTGGGGAGTTCTTGCAGTTTCTTGGGAATTCTGCAATTCCTGATGGGAATTCTCCCCTTCTCTCCACAGGTGTCATCCCCCACATCCACAAGTCCCTGATTGGAAAGAAGGGGCAGCAGAAGACGGCGTAAGGGAGCGCGGTGCCGGATCCCCCGTCATCGTACCGACCTGGGCACAGCAACACCTTGGGGATGCCAGGAAACTTTTTTTAAGGAATAGTTGAAAGGAAGAACATAGAGGATTGACTGTAGAGGAAACATTGGGATGGGTTTAGATTCCGAGTGGGACACACCGTGGGCCCGTGGGGCAGCAGCCGGGGGGGTTTGAGGGGCTGGGCTGTCCTGCGTTTTATACAAAAATGGAACCCATAAACCATTTTTTACAAAAAAACGAGCTCTCTGATGTGGCGGAAGGAGGGGGGCCGGGAGGCAGGAGGGTCCGGGGAGGAGGAATCGGACGGTCCCGGCACCGGCCCGCGCTGCATGCAGATTAGCCCTGCCACATATGCAAATACACAGCATTGTGAAGCCACGCCCCTCATAAATATTCGGTGTGGAGGCGGGGCGTGTCCCAAGGCTCCGCCCCAGAGCGCACATGGCCGGGGGTGCCTGTGTGTCCGTCTGTCCTGGGCATGGGGGCCCCTGTGTCTGTCCGTCTCAGCTATGGGGGTATCCGTTTGTCCTGGGCACAGGAGTCTTTGTGTGTCCGTCTGCCCCAGGCCTGGGGGTGTCATGGGCCTGTCTGTCCTGAGCGTCTGTCTGTCCTGGGCCCAGGGGTGCTGCATGTCTGTGTGTCCTGAGTGTCTGTCTGTCCTGGGCAGATGTGTCAGGTGTCCATCTGTCCTGGGCACAGGGCTCCTGGGTGTCTGTCTGTCCAGGGTGTCTTATCAGCTCTGGCTGTGTGGGTGTCTGGTGTCCACCTGTCCTGGGCATTGGGACACTGGGTGTCTGTCCCAGCGGCTGGGTGCTGGGCTCTGTCCTGGGTATCCATCTGTCCTGGGCACATGGGTGACCACCCAGCCCCTCCTAGCTCCCGGGGAGTCCCATGCGCAGCCATCGTACGCGGGGGAGCCCCGGGCGGGGCTCAGAGGAGGCGGCGGCGGGAGCCGGGCCCGGGGCGGCTCCAGCACTGGCAACAGCAGGTGGGGGTTGCATCAGGCGTCGAGTAGCCCCAACGGCCCAGGGTGCCATCCGGGGCCGTGCCCGCGCTCAGCGGCGCCCTGGCCCGCCGGGCCGCAGTGCCGGGGCATCCCCATGGGCCGGTGCCGGGGGGGGGCACGAGGGGTAAGGACAAGGCCGGGCCAGTGCCCGCGGGGCAGAGCCCGCACAATGGCGGCGCCGCTCGGCGCAAGATGGCGGCGAGGGGCGGGGCCTCCCTGACCACACCGCGAGTACGCGTCTCGCGCCGCCGCATGGCGCATGCGCATACCGTCGCGCGCCTCTCGCCGCCGGGCCGCGCGGGCCGCACCATGCGGCCCTCACGGGAGGGGACCGCGGGGGACGCCGGTGCACGCCCAAGGCGCCGCGCCGCGCGAGGCAGCGGAGACGTCTCGCACGCCCGTTTAACGCCGGTCAGCGCTCGGCCAGCGGCGGGGAGCGCAGGGCTGTCCCGGCGGCGGAGCCCGCGTTCGGCGTTACATAACGCTGTCCCCCTGCCCACCCGCAGTGGTCCCGCCACCCCGCCCCCGCGGCCCTTACAGCTCTCATCATTGGCTGGATCAGGCGGCGGGGCGGGGCGAGGAGGCTACAAGTAAGGGCGATGCGGCGGGCGCCGCGCTCAGTCCGTCGCGGCCGCGCCCGGGTCTCGTTGTTCTCGTGCTTCCCCCGCCGCCAGTCGCCGCCCTCCGCCGCCGCCATGAACGGACAGCTGAACGGTTTCCACGAGGTGTTCATCGAGGAGGGCACCTTCCTCTTCACCTCCGAGTCCGTGGGCGAGGGGCACCCAGGTGCGGGCCGGGCGGGGCGGGGCCGGGCGGCGAGCGCGCAGGCGCGGCCGGGCGTGGGGGGGAGGAGGAGGATGAGGACGAAAATGAAGAAGGAAGGATGGGGATGAAGAGGGCGAGGATGAGGATGGAGGGGCCGTGTGTGTGTGTGTATGTGGGGGGGGCGGTGACGCGCGCGGGCGCGCGCGCAGTGTGAGGCGGGCGCGCGCTCGCCGCATTGCGGGCCCGGCGCGCACGTGCTGCCCGCGTGGGGCGGGACACGGGGGGAACGGGGGGGACACGGGGGTGACGGTGGGGCGGGGATGGGGCCGGTGCCGCCGTGACTCAGCCGTGACTAAGCAGCTCCCGGTGCCCCCGCACCCCACGCCCCCCTCCCCCCCGCGTGGGTGCCGGGGCCGGGACAGGCCCGGTGACCCCCCCCACACCGCCCCGGGGCTCGGTGCCACCCTCAGCGCACCGCACGCTCCCCAGGGGTCTCCGATGACGTCCAAGCTGTGATGGAGCGTCGCGGGTCTCCCCAGAGGTGCCCCCCAGCCGAAGCCGGAGGGTGTCACACACTGCTTCCGTGGGGGCTCGGAGCTTTCTCAGCTCGGTGCCAGCCCGTGCCGGGCTCCCCCCGCCTTTGTCCTCGCCGATTTGGGGCACATGACTGTTAATCTGCGTAGGCAGCTGCCAGTGCCCAGCACCCGCTGCCAGGGCACCCCCGGCACCCCCCAGCTCCGGGCACTCCAGCACCTTCTGAGCCCCCCACCAGCTCCGGATGCTCCAGCACCCACTGCTCGAGCACAGCACCCCCAGCACCCCATAGCTCTAGTCCCTCTGGCTCCAGCACCCACAACCTGTGGCTGTTCTAGGGATGCTTCTGGGGCTCCCCCCACGCTACCACGAGGGAGGAAGCTGCAAAGTCCGTTTCCTCACTCTTCAACCCCAAAAACCATCTGGGGAACCCCCCTCTGCTCACCTCAGCCAAGCGCTGCCTCATCCTCCCCCCCAGTCCTGCCTGGAAGGTCGCTCCCAAGGACATCCGCAGTCCCGGGGACACGAGCGGCCCTTGGGACACCCCGGAGCGGGTGGGAGGTGTCCCCCATCCCAAATAAAGCCCCCTGGGAGCAGGAGGGAGCTGGGTGTCTGGTGGGATATGGCTGGAGCAGCTCTGGCATCGGGCACATCTGGAGCTGCTGGAAACTGGATTTGGAAAGTCGGGATATGGGTTTGATCCCCTTGGCCCTGGCTGGGACTGGAGCTTAACTGGGACATGCCTGGAATTCCAGGCTGGGAACAAGGCAAGGGCTCTCTGTGCCCCGGGGGGCATACAGATTATGGATTACAGGGTTTGGATCTTGGATCCTGGCTGGGCTGTGCCAGAGGCTCCGGAAGGAAGGGCCAGGCAGGGCCAGGCTGGGCTGTCCCACGCCATTGTGACGCCTCCCGCTCTCCCTGTCCCCAGATAAAATCTGTGACCAGATCAGTGACGCCGTCCTGGACGCCCACCTCAAGCAGGACCCCGATGCCAAGGTGGCCTGTGGTGAGTGGGGGCACCGGGGGACAGTGGGTGGGTGACGCCGGTGGTGACACCGCTCTGACGTCACCTTGTCCCTACAGAGACGGTGGCCAAGACCGGGATGATCCTGCTGGCAGGGGAGATCACCTCCCGGGCCAACGTGGACTACCAGAAGGTGGTCCGGGACACCATCCGGCACATCGGCTATGACGACTCTTCCAAAGGTGCGTCCGGGGTGTCCCCAGCTGGGTGGCAGCACAGGGGTGGCACTGGGCTCACCAACAGCCTCCCCCCCAGGCTTTGACTACAAGACGTGCAACGTGCTGGTGGCCCTGGAGCAGCAGTCCCCGGACATCGCCCAGGGCGTGCACCTGGACCGCAGCGAGGAGGACATCGGCGCCGGGGACCAGGTGAGAGCAATACGGGGCTGCCGCGGGGTCAGTGGGGCGGGGTGGGACCCTGCAGTGGGACTGGGGCTGGGGTGGGACCCCGCAGTGTGAGCAGGCTGGGGTGTGACCCCCCCCGTCCCTGTCGGCAGGGGCTGATGTTCGGGTACGCCACGGATGAGACAGAGGAGTGCATGCCCCTGACCATTGTGCTGGCACACAAGCTCAACGCCAAGCTGGCCGAGCTGCGCCGCAGCGGAGCCCTGCCCTGGCTGCGCCCCGACTCCAAGACACAGGTGAGGTGCTGGTGGGTCTCCAAACCCCCGGGGAGCCCCCTGCTCCCCCCCGGCGGCCCCTGACCCGTGTCCCCTGGCAGGTGACGGTGCAGTACATGCAGGACCGCGGGGCCGTGATCCCCATCCGGGTGCACACCATCGTGATCTCGGTGCAGCACGACGAGGACGTGTGTCTGGACGAGATGCGCGATGCCCTCAAGGAGAAGGTCATCAAGGCCGTGGTGCCCCCCAAGTACCTGGACGACGACACCATCTACCACCTGCAGCCCAGCGGGCGCTTCGTCATCGGCGGGCCCCAGGTGCGGCCGAGGGCACCGTGGTGGCGGCACTGTGGTGACCACAGTGACGGTGGTGGTGACGGCATGGCACAGTGGTGGTCACAGCGTAGCAGTCACGGGTGTGGTGGTGGCAGTGACAGTGCAGTGATGGCTTGGTGGCGAAGGTGGTGCCACGCTGGTGGTGACGCTGGTGACAGTGCTGGTGCTGCTGATGACACTGGTGACAGTGCCGGCACACAGCTGTGACACTGCTGTCCCCCGCAGGGCGACGCGGGGCTGACGGGCCGTAAGATCATCGTGGACACGTACGGGGGCTGGGGGGCCCACGGCGGCGGCGCCTTCTCGGGCAAGGACTACACCAAGGTGGATCGCTCGGCCGCCTACGCCGCACGCTGGGTGGCCAAGTCCTTGGTGAAGGCTGGGCTGTGCCGCAGGGTGCTGGTCCAGGTGGGTGCTGGGCAGGGGGGGCTGTCCGGGGGGGGCCGGTCCAGGCAGGGACTTGGCTTCACCCGCAGTTCCCCCACAGGTCTCATACGCCATCGGGGTCTCGCACCCCTTGTCCATCTCCATCTTCCACTACGGCACCTCCCAGAAGAGCGAGCGGGAGCTGCTGGAGATCGTCAAGAAGAATTTTGACCTGCGGCCCGGGGTCATCGTCAGGTAACGGGTGCGGGGGGGCCGCGCCGGGGGGGGGGCCGGGGTGGGCGGGGGTCCCTCCCGGAGCAGCCCGGGGACCGCCTGGCGCCCTGGACCCCGCGCGGAGCTGCTCGGCCGCAGGAGGAGGCGCGTTCCGGGTAAGTATCCGCCGGAGCCGAGCGCTTGGAGCTTCCCCGGGGCCAGGAGCGTTTGAGGGGCTCAGGGAGAGCCCCCGGGAAGCTCCAACCGCCCCGCGGGGGTGGGGGGGACACGGAGGCACCGCCGCAGACCCCCCGGCCAGGCAGGGAAGGGGCGAAGGCAGGACCCCGGGGCCGCCTCACTGAGTCGGGAATTGTGTATTCCAGGGATCTGGATCTGAAGAAGCCCCTCTATCAGAGGACTGCAGCCTATGGCCACTTTGGTAGGGACAGTTTCCCTTGGGAAGTGCCCAAAAAACTAAAATACTGAGGAAAAAAGAGCCTTGTTAGGGCTTTTCCCCCCACTCCCACGGGCGTAGGTTACAGAGAAGCCCGTGGGCTCTGGGGGAAGAGCTCCCGGCCCCCCCCAGCCCCTCCTTTTCTCTCTCTCTCTCGCCATCGTTTCGGTTGCGTGGGGACCACGTGCCTCTCCCAGGGCCCCCCCCCCGTGTCCCTCCAAATCCCTCCGGATGGTTTTTAACAAATCCCATCTGACTCCAACCTTGGATATGGGAAAAAGGCCCCAAGTGCCCCCCCCAGCCTCCCCCCACTGCAGGGGGGGGCACCCCATTTTGGGTCCCACCAGTCCTGCTGCAGGGAGGGACACCCATTTTGTGTCCCCCCCATCCCCTCCTTGGCCCCAAATTCCACTACATCAGGGGGACACCCCATTTTGGATCTCCATCCCCTCAGTCCTGCTGCGGGGGACACACACCCCATTTTGGCTCCCACTGTCCCCCTAGTCCTGCTGCAGGGGGGGGATACAAAATCTCCTCCATTTTGGCTCCCCCAGTCGTCCCCCCCACAGCTCCCAGTCCCATTGTGGGGGGACACCCCATTCCACCTCCCCGTCCTCCCTGGGACCTCGCTGGTGCTGGTTTTGGTTCTTAACCCTCATTTTTAACCTCTTTTTGCTCCAAAAATGCACATTGTGGGGGGGACACGCTAAAACCCGCCCCCAGACCCCCCCAGCCCCCCCCCCCCACCGAGGGTTCGGTACCGGAGGAAAATATTTTACATTTCTCTTTTCTTGGGTTTTAATCCAAAAGCTGAAGCGACTCCCCAGCTGCACAACCTCCCCCCCCCGTCCCACCGATGGGGGGGTACCCCCCAACTCTGTCCGGATTTTGGGGGGAAAGGGGAGGATTTGGCCCTCGATACTTGAAGGTTTGGTGTATTTATTGTGTGCCGAGGTGGGGGCGTGAGTACAGAGAAGCCCCCGCGCTCAGCCGGCAGCTCCTGACCCCCTGAAAGCCCCCCCGCCCCTCCCCCTGCCTTTCCCCCACCCCCCACCAGTTTGGGGGGAAACGGGGTGGAATTGGGTTTGTTGGAGCGCTGGGGGTGCCCCCGGGCGCGGCGCCCGTGGCCGGTGTGGTACAGAGAAGCCGGCTTGTTTACTGCCCGCCCGGCACGGCCCCCCAAAGTGCCTTGGGGAGGGGCAGGGGGGCTTTCTCTCCCCCCCCGAGTAGTTTTTTTTTTCTTGGTTTTACTATTTTCGGGAGGTTTCGTCCGAATGTTTCGATCCACCGAGTCCAAAAAGCAAACTTCAAAAACAAAAAGTCTCAATAAAAGTGAAGTGATGGGTCGGCTGGAGCCGCCTCTGGTTTGGGGGGGGTGGAGGGAGAGCTGGGGTATGGGGGGGGGAAACAGGCACGGGGGGAAATGGGGGTGAGGGGGAAATTGGGGTACGGGGGAAACTCGGGTATGGGAGAAACAGGCACAGAAATGGGGGGGAGAAATTAAAGTGGAGGGGGAATGGGCAGGGGGAAACTGAGGCACGGGGGAGGACTGGGAGGGGGAGAGATTGGGGTACAGGGGGGAAATAGGGATGGGGGACCAAGGGATTAGAGGAAACTGAGGCATGGGGGGAATGGACATGAGGTGAAAAATGGGTATGGGGGAACTGAGGCATGGGGGGGCAATTGAAGTACAGAGGGGAAGCAAATATTGGGGGAACCGAGCAGGGAGGGAAATGGGTGCAGGGGAAAGTGGGGTGTGAGGGAAACTGAGGCACGTGGGAAACTGGGGTACAGGGGAAACGGAGGGATGAGTGGAGTGGGGGACCTGGGATGGGGGAAATGGGTACAGGGGGAACTGAGGGAGGAGGGAAGGGGAATGGAGGGAAATGGTGCATGGAGGGGGAACCCACAGGGGAGGGGGGGAAACAGGGATACCATGAGAAAATGGGGTATGGGGGAAACTGAGGCACGGGGAGGGAAACGAGGGATGAGGGGAAGGGGTTTGGAGGGAAATTGGATACACGGAGGGGGAGCATACGGGGAGGGGGGGTGAAACGGGTACCTGGAGAAAGGGGTACGGGGGGGAAACTGAGGCACGGGAGGATTTTTTAGCTTAAAAAACCAGGGTTTATTGCGGGTGCTCAGAGCTCGGGCCCCCCCCGGGCTCCTCCCTCGCCCTCGGTCCGAGCCCCCTCCTCCTCCTCGCCGCGCCAGCTGGCGAAGGCCACCTCCTGTGCCAGGCGCTCGGGGTCCGGGCGGCCCAGCGCCAGGTTCCGCAGGGCGATCAGGGTCATCAGGGCGCTGCGGGGACAGGGGGGACGGGGGGCACAGGGGTCAGCGCGGGGGGCACGGCGCGGGGGCCAGGGGGGCGTTCTGGGGGCTCACCTGCGGCGGAAGAGGAAGAACTTCCTGCGGAGGAAGCGCCGCAGGCGCTGGGCCGGGCTGGATTCGCGCTCCCGCCGCTGCTCCCGCTGCTCCCGCCGCAGGAACAGCGAGACCAGCGGGTCCAGCGGGACCCCCGCAGGGGGCGGCTCCCCCAGGATGGGCCGCAGCTCGGGGGGCAGCGGGGACCGCTCTGCGGGGGGGGGAGGTGATTTTGGGGTTCCCGTGATCCCCCAGCCCACTGACAGGGATTTGGGGTGTCCCCATGATCCCCCTGGCCAGTGACAGGGAATGGGGGGGTGGCCATGATGTCCCATCCCTAGTGACAGGGATTGGGGGTCCCCATGATCCTCCACCCCCCTGACAGGGATTCTGGGGGTCTCCGTTATCCCCCAGCCTGGTGGTGGGAACTGGGGGTGTCGCCATGATCTCCACAACCCAGTGACAGGGATTTTGGGGGTCCCCATGGTCCCCCCACTCCAGTGACAGGGACTGGGGGTTCCTGTGATTCCCCCAGCCTTGTGATGGAAACTGGGGGGGTTGCCATGATTCCCCCCACCCTACGGACAGAGATTGAGGGTCTCTATGATCCCACCACCCCAGTGCTCACCAGAAGATGAGATGACAGGGATTTTGGGGGCCCTCTGGTCCCCCCCCCCAGTGACAGGGAATGGAGGCCCTCCATGATCTCCCTCAGCTCAACAGGGGCTGAGGTGATGGAGCTTTTGGGGTCCCCACAGTCCCCCCCACATCTGGGTGCCCACCATGGGGGTGAGGTGACAGGGATTTTTGGGTCCTCATGCCCCTGGTGCTACCCAGTGTGGGAGGTGATGGGGTTTTTAGGGTTCCTGTGATCCCAGGGAGTGAACTGACGGGGATTTGGGGGAGAGGGCGGTGTCTCCCCACTGCTCAGCAGTGCCAGGGACTTGGGGGTCCCTGTGATCTCCCCACCCTGAGTGCCCCCCAGGGGGTGAGATGCCTAGGGTTTTGGGATTCTCCTGGGGAGGTATCAGGGACTTTGGAGTCCCCAGGGGTGACGTGCCCAGGGTTTGGGGTCCCAGGCTCTGGGGTCCCCGGGGTGCGCTGCTCGGGGGTTCCTCACCGGTGCCGTTGCGCACTCGGTCCCGCAGCTCCCGCAGCCGCGTCAGGTTCCGCTCCAGCTCCAGGGCCGTGGTGTTCACGTACAGGTACATGTAACACGAGGGCTCCGGGGACACCGTGTGCACCTTGTGGTACTGCCCTGCTGGCAGCTAGGGGACAGGGGGGGGTCAGCACCCCCAGGCACCCCTGAGCCCCCCGGGGCCCCCCCAAGCCTCACCTGCATCCCCTGGCCCTCCTGGAGCGAGTGGTTCTGCTGCTGCTCCACCAGCTCCACCAGCACCTGCCCCCGCAGCACCCGCAGGCTCGTGTTCCCCAGGTCCTCACTCACAAAGTTCTCCAGGTGCAGGCCTGGAACACACAGGGGGGGGCTGTACTCCACCCCCCCGAGCTCTTCCCTGTACCCTGTACCCTGACCCCCCCACCTCGAATCCCCAGGACCCCCCATGCCCTGCACCCCAACTCCTGGGACCCCACCATGCCCTGTGTGCCCCCCTCCAAACCCTGTTCCCACCCCCTCTGAATCCCTGGGACCCCCCTGCTCCCTGACGGGACATCCCTAAACCTCCCACTACCCTACCAGCCACCCTGTGCCCTGTACCCCCCAGCCCCCCCCAGCCCCCTGTGCCCCGTGCCCTGTCCCCTGACCCCCCAGCCCCCCTGGGCCCCACCGGGGAAGTCGGCGATGAACACGGTGTCTGTGTGTCCGTCCAGCTGCGCCTCCAGCTCCTGCAGCCGCTGCCGCCACGGCGACAGATCCACCAGCAGCGGGAGCAGCCACGGCGTGGGGGTCCAGGGGGACCAGGGGGCACGCACCAGGTCCACACGGGGGTCCACGAGCCTGTGGGGACGAGGTGTCAGCGCCCCACGGCCCCCCCAGATCCCGTGTGTGCCCCCAACACTGCTGGGAGCGACAGCACCCACAGCAGGGGGGACCATGGGACCCACGGGCCCGCAGGGACCATGGGGTACAGACCAGAGCCACCCACAGGGTCCATGAGTCTGTGGGGACAGGCTGTCAGCACCCCACAGCCCCCCCAAATCCTGCGTGTGCCCCCAAACCACTGCACCGGCTCCTGCAGCAGTGGGGACCCCCAGTGTGGGGGACCACAGCACCCACTCCTGTGGGTCCACTGGCCTGCAGGGACGAGACACCCACACCCCCCATGGCCCCCCAGATCCTCCGTCCCCACAAACACCTCCTGGAAGCAGCAGCTCCAGCAGCAGCACCCACAGTTTGGGGGACCATGGGACCACATCAGGGCCACTCATGGCTTCACCAGCCTGCAGGGATAGGACACCAGCACTCCCACATCTCCCCATGTCCCCCCAAATCGTGTGTGTACCCAAATCTCTGCTAGAGGCACAAGCTCCAGCTGCACCCACAGTGTGGGGGCCCAGAGGGACAACCCCAGGCCCACTCGTGGATCTACCAACCTGTGGGGATGGGCCACCAGCACCTCACATCCCCCTCTGTCCCCCCAAATCGTGTGTGTGCCCCACAACCACTGCTGGAAGCACCAGAACCAGCAGCAGCACCCACAGCGAGGGAGCCCACAGGCTCCACCCGTGGGTCCCCCGTCCTGCGTGCCCCCTGTGCCCCTCTGTCCCCCCAAACCCCCTCCATCCCCCCAGAGTCCCCATCCCCACCCTGTACCCCCCCATCCCCTACCCATGCCCCTCTGTCCCCCCAAACCCCTCTCCCTCCCATGCCCCCCTGTCTCCCCATCCCTGTCTCCACAAAATCCCTCGTTCCCGCTCTCCCCCGTGCCCCCCGTGCCCCCTGTGCCCTTCTGCCCCCCCATACCCCTCTGCCCCCCCGTGCCCCCGTGCCCACCGCTGCTGGAAGCGCTCGTTGATGGACACCCAGACGTCGAAGTAGATGCGGGGCCGGCTCACGTTGTACCGCGGCAGGAGGCGGCTCAGGCACGACGAGTATTGTTTGAGCATGTCCGCGTGGTCCCGCCAGCGCCGGCTCTGCGTGAACACCTGCGGGACCGCGCCGGGGGCTGCGGGCACCGGGGGGGACTGGGCGGCTGCCCCACCGGGGCAGGGGGGGCTGCGGGGACTGGGGGGACACAGGGGGACTGGGAGGGACCAGGGGGACACGGGGGGACCGGGGCAGGGAGGGCTGGGGGAACTGGGGGCACTGGGGGCACTGGGAGGACTGGGGGTGACTGGGGCAGTGAGGGCTGAGGGCAGTAGGGGCACTGGGGGGACAGGGGGACCGGGGGATTGGAGAACGAGGGGTGGGAGCAATGAGGGACTGGGGGGGAAATGGGGGGGCAGAATAAAGGATTGGGTGGAATGGGGGATGAGGGAGAAATGAGGGGGGGATGAGGCATGAGGGTGAATGGAGGGTGGGGGGGAATGAGAGATGGGGGAAACTGAGGCACAAGGAGGGAAAGGAGAGGTGGGGAAACTGAGACACGGGGGGAGGAAAGGAAGGATGGGGGAACTGAGGCACAGGTGGGGTGTCCCATGGGGGTCCTCGTGTGTGTGGGGGTAACGGCAGAATGTGGGGGAAGGGGAGGCACAGGGGGGAAAATGAGGGATGGGGGCAACTGAGGCACGGAGGGAAAATCAGGCACTGGGGAAGCTGAGGCTTGGGGGGGTCCCATGGGGGGGTTCCCGTGCTTGGATGGGGGAAACTGAGGCTTGGGGGGGTTGGCTTAAAACATTAAGTTTATTTGGATTGATCAAAGCTGGGAACACCCTGTCCTTCCCCCCCCTATCCTGGGGCACCCCTCACCTCTGGTCCCAGGCAGCCCCCTGGGTGGGGGGGTCACTCACCCCTGGTTTCAGGTAGCCCACCTCCCCAGTGAGCCCGTCCCTGTAGGTGATCTTGACGTGCTGGTGGAAGCGGGAGTGGACCATCATGTCCCAGGAGTAGCCATAGAGCCCATTGGTCCAGTTGTTGTAGCCCTGGGGGGCATGGGGGGAGGGTCACAGGACATGGGGGTGGGTCACAGCAGAGCACAGGGGTCCCCACCCCAGGGGAACAAGGAGGGACCCCCATATCCCCCCTCCTGCCTCCTCTGGCAATGGCCTCGCTCCATGACCCCCATCCCACCCCCCAACAGTTCCCCCACCCCCTGCCCCCCAGCCCTGCCCCTGTGCCCCCCAGCAGCCCCCCTGTACCTCCGTGCCCCCCAAATGTCCTGCTCCAGAGTCCCCCAGCCCTAAGGGGGACTTCACCCCTTCTGTGTCCCCTAAAAGTGCCCCCACATCCTCAAAAACAGACACCACGTCCTCAAAAATCTCCCATGTCCCAAAATTAACTTCACACTCCCAAAATACCCCCCATATACCCCAAAATAACCCCATGTCCTAGAAATATCCCAACATCCCCCAAATGAACAGCCCCTGTGTCCCCAAAATGCCCCTGTATCCCCCAAAATACCCATGTCCCCCAAAATGACACCCCCACATCCCCCCAAAACACTCCCACAGGACCCAAAATGTCCCTCACGCCCTGCAAAATACCCCTCATATCCCAAAAAATACCTCCATGTCCTCAAAAATGCCCTCCCACACCCGAAAATACCCACCACATCCTCAAAAACACCCTGATCCCCCCAAAATGCCCCTCACATCCCCCTAAAATGTCCCTTACATGCCCCAAAATGCCACCCACACCCCCAAAAACACATCCACGCCCCCCACAACATCCCTCACATCCCCAAAATCGCCCCACGCATCCCTGAACCCCATCCCCGTGTTCCCCAAGCCCCTCCCCCACGTCCCCACCCCCTCCCCGTGCCCCCCCCCCCGTGCCCACCGGGGTGATGAAGTGGGAGTAGGGCAGGAAGAGCTGCTCCAGCACGTAGAGGATGGTGAAGGCTGCAGCCAAGTGCTGGCGAGGCCGAAGGCCCCCCCGCGCCCCCTGGCCCTCATAGTGGCAGTCGGGGCTGGGCTGGGGGGGCCTCGTGCTGGGCAGGACCCCCCTGAGCCACGGGGGGCACCGGGCCACGAGCCCCCGTGGCCACTCGGGCCGGCAGAACAGGCCGTTGGTGGCCAGCATGGTGTAGGAGAACATTCCTGGGGACAAGGGGGACATTTAGGGACCTCCTGCACCCGGGGGGCACTGAGGGACCTCGAGGGAGCTGTGGGGACAGGGGGGTGAGGGGGTTCCTGCCCAGGGTCAGAGTGCTCTGGGCATGTCTGGGTGCCCAGGATGGGGCTGATTTAGGGGATGTCCGGGTGCCCCTGCCATGGCTGGGGAGGATTTGGGGGCTGGTGGGGGGGGAACTTTGCCCTGGTTGGGGGTGGTTTAAGGGGTGTTTGGGTGCCCCTGCCACAGCTGGGGGGGATTTACAGGGGTTTGGGGAGTGTCCCTGCCCAGGCCGGGGGTGTTTTGGGGGGGTCCCTGCCCTGGCTGAGGGTGCTCAAGGAGGGTGATAGGGTGAGTGGAAGCCCCTACCCAAGGGATGGCCCTGCCCGGGTTGGGGGTGCCCGGGGGGGTCCTTGGCCCAGGTTGGGAGTGCTCTGCGGGATGGGAAGGTGCTCCTGCTCAGGCTCAGGGTGTTTTGGGGGCTGGAGGGTGCCCCTGTTCTGGCTGGGGGTGCTGGGGGGGTACTGGGGGTGCTGGGGGGGTACTGGGGGTGCCATGCCCCCCTCCTCTCACCGATGCTGAAGAGCTGGGAGTTCATGCAGTGGAAGTAGGTGACGAAGACGAGGGCGAGGGGCCGTGTGGCGTCGAAGAAGAGCAGGAAACCCGCGGAGAGGTCGAGCACCAGCCCCCCACCGTGCACCACTAGCAGGCTGGTCAGCTCCTCTGACAGAACCAGCCTGGCCACAGAGCCTTCCTCAGTGTCAGCCTCACCCTGACACCCTCCTCAGCCTCACCTCAACACCCTCCTCAGCCTCACCCTGACACCCCGTCACCCTCCTCATCCTCCCTTTCCTCACTTTGACACCCTCACCCTCCTCATCCTCACCCTGCCTGTCACTCCCTCTCATCCTCACCCCATTACCCTCCTCATCCTCACCCCATTGCCTCCCTCACCTTCCTCACCCTGTCCCTGTCCCACTTCTCATCCTCAACTCAGACCTAGCACCCCATTGCCTTCCTCATCCCATCCTCATCTTCACTCTGACTCTGTGGCCCATCCTCATCCCCATCCCCCTCCTCATCCTCACCCTTAACCCATCCCTCTGACACTCTCATCTTCACCCTGCCCCCCTCCTCCTCCTCCCCCGTCTCTGTCACACCCTCCTCATCCTCACCCTGAACCCACCAACCCACCTCACCCTCCTCATCCTCACCCCGACCCCATCAACCTACCTCACCATCCTCATCCTCATCCAAACCCCAGCCCCATCACCCTCCAAACCCTGACCCCAGCCCCATCACCCTCCTCATCCTCACCTCGACCCCATCAACTCACTTCCCACTCCTCACCCCCAGCCTGTCCCCATCCCTGTCCCTTGCCCACCCCCCTGTGCCCCCCAGACCTGAAGGGGGAGAAGAGCCAGTGCCGGGCGAGGGAGCCCATGGAGAACCCCCCGACCCAGTCCCCGTCCAGCTTCTTCAGCCCCGCGATGAAGTACACGATGAACACCTGGGGGGCACGGGGTCAGGGGGAGTCAAGGGGTCCAGAGAATCCCAGAGGGGGCCCGGGGGGGGGCTCTGGGGGTCCCTGGGGCAGGGGCACTCACCTGGGCACGCAGCAGGGCGTAGTTCCACAGCGGGACGTGGGCGTTGCGCTTGCGGGGACGGAACAGCCCGTCCACGGACCTGGGGGGACACCGGGGACAGAGGGGGGGCCAGGTCACTGTCACCCCACTGCCAGAGCTGTGGGAACACGTGCCACCACCTCACAGGGACAGAGAGCCACAGGGATACCCCGTGGGGACCCTGGTGCTAGGTCCTGTGCCACCCACTGGGGACACCATGGCCTGAGCCACCCCCGGGGATCCCAGTGCCACTGGGGACCCCAGGACCTGTGCAACCCCCTGGGGGACTCTGTGCCACGGGGGAACCTGCTGTCACAGGGGACCCCATGACCCGTGCCACCCGCTTAGGGACACCAAAACCATGGGGGACCCCAGAGCCTGTGCCACCCCATGGGGACACCCCCTGAGCACACAGCACCATGAGGACCCTGGTGCCAGAGGGCACCTCAGGGTCTGGGCCACCCTGCTGGGGCCCTGGTGCCACAGGGAACCTCACAACCTCTGGAGGCCACCCCACGGGGACCCCCAGGCCCTGTGTCACTTGGGGTCACCCACCCTGCTGCCACACAGAACCCCTGACCCGGGGTCCCCAGTGCCCCCCCACCCCCCCGGGTGCCCACCCGTAGCGGTCAGCGCCCAGCAGTGCCAGCTGGAAGCCCAGCAGCCCGTAGAGGTAGGAGTGGTTGTTCCAGGAGGTTTTGTCCAGCAGGAACAGGTACCAGTACGGGCACAGGAAGGCGATGCAGCTCAGCCGGTAGCAGCACCCCAACATGATGCCCAGTGCCCCTGTGGGCACAGGACCCTCAGTGTGTCCCCTGGCCCCTCCCCGTGCCACCCCTTCCCTGTCCCCAGCCCTCCTCCCAGTCCAGTGCCAGACCCCAACACGATGCCCAGTGCCCCTGCATCTGGGGACACACCCCACATTGTGTGTCCCCCTGGGAACCCTCTTGGTGCCACCCCCTCTGCCTGTCCCCGGACTTCCCGAGCTCCCCTCCCAGTCCATCACAGTCACAGTGCCCATTCCCACCCCAGTGCCAGTCCCTACCATGGTTCCTGTCCCCATCCCACCCTCATTTCTGTCCCAGTGCCCATCTCAGTGCCTTGGTCCAGACACTGTCCCAGTGCCACCCCCCCACCTGTCCCCACGGGTGGGGTTCTGTGTCCCCACCCTCCCCTAGCTCCCCTCCCAGTCCCAGTCCCAGTGCCATTCCCACTCCAGTGCCCCTCCCCACTGTGGCTCCTGTCCCCATCCTACCCCCCTTTCTGCCCAGTACCACCCCCTGTTTGTCCCCTTCTGTATCCCCATCTTCCCCAAATTCCTCTCCCAGTCCATCCCAGTGCCCATTCCCACCCCGGTACCCGTCCCCCTCCCACCCCCATTTCTGCCCCAGTGCCATCCCCTGCCCGGTGCCCCTCCCCATCCCTCCCAGCCCGTACCCAAGAACATGACGGTGTAGAGCAGGTACATCCAGTCGAGGGGCAGGGGCTGCAGGAAGGGCAGGAGGGGGAAGCGACAAACCTCGAGCCCGTCCAGGTACCGCTGGTCCAGGTGGCCCAGCCCCCGCTCCTGCGGCACGTCCAGCGCCATCAGCAGCCCTGGGGGGCGGGGGGGGGGGTCAGTGACCCCCGTCCGGGCGGGCACTGACCCCCCTCCAGCCCCAAACCGCTGCCCAACCTTTGCTCCGGTGCTGACGCGTTACTGCCCGGTCGCCTCCATCCCCCTCGGACAGCAGGGACCTCCCGGATCCCCCCAGCTATCCCTCTCCCAAAGCCCCTGAGCCCCCCCGAGCCCCTGGATCCCTGAGCCACCCAGGCCCGCCCTCTCTGCCCCACAGAGTCCCTCCGGAGCCCTCCTGGAGCGCCCCCCGTTCCTCCCAGCCTCCGTTTCCGTGAGGCTCCCCCGGCCCCTGCCCTCCCTGTCCCCCCGGTGACCCCGTACCCGGAGCCCCCCCCGGGTCCTCCCGAGCCCCGCAGTCCCTGTCCTCCCCCAGAGCCCCTTGGTCCCCCCCAGCCCCCAATCTCCTTGTTCCCCAAAGCACCTCCGGCCATCCCTGGTCCCCCCCGGTCCCGGTACCCTCGGAGTCCCCCCGGTACTCCCCAGCCCCACTCTCCCCGTCCCCTCAGCGGCCCCCCGAGTTCCAGAGCCCCGGGCGGCCACCCGGAGCCCCCCCGCTCCTCCCAACCCGGAGCTCTCTCGGTCCCTTCGGTGCCCCGCAGCCCCGGTACCCCCGGAGCGCCCCTGGTGTTCCCCCAGCCCCGGAGACCTCCGGTCCCCCCGGTCCCCGCTGACCGAAGGCGGCGCGGAAGGCTCCGAGCGCCGCGGGGTCCTGCGGCCGGTGCATCAGCCGGACGAAGCGGTGCCACCGCGTCAGGTCCCGCAGCTCGAACCCGAGCAGCCGCCGCGCCAGCCCGGGGCCGGTCCCGGGGGTCCCGGAGGAGCAGGGGGGACCCGGGGGCGGCCCCGCCGCCGCCTCTCCCCGCTCCGGCCGCCTCCGCCGCGCCGGGCCTGCCGGGGGTCACAGGTCAGGGGGCGCAGGGCGGGGGGTCTCTTCCGGGGGGTTCCGCACCCCCGCCCCGTTCCCGGTTCCCCGCTCCCCGTTCCGCACCCGCCGCCGCCGCCATCGCCGAGGCCCCGCCCCCTCGATACACGTCACACGCGTCACGGCCGCGACAGCCAATCAGCGGCGCGGGGGCGGAGCATCGCGACCACACCCCTGCCGGGCCCCGCCCCGCCCTAAGCCCGCCCCATCCCCGCCCTGACCCAGGACCTCCATGCGAGACCCCCTGACCTCCGACCCCTGACCTCCGACCCCCTCACAGACCCCCCCCTCGGCCGCGGGACCCCCGGCCCGCCCCAGAGACCCCGCCCAGACCCGGCTCCCCTCCGCCCCGCCGCGACCCTCGCCGCGACCCCTCCGCGACCACGCCCCGGAACCCGCCCCCTCCCTCGCCCCCTGATCCCGCCCCCCCGCGACCCCCGCATCCGACCCCCGACCAACCGCGATCCCCCAGCCCGGCATCCCCGACCCCCGGGACCCCCGCCCCGACCCCGCCGCGACCCCACCCCGTAACACCCCCAGCCCGGCACCCCCGACCCGCCGCGACCCCCGCCCCGCGCCCAGCCCGGCGCCCCCCGCCCCGACCCCGCCCTGCCCCCGGCACACCCCCGGCCCGCCCCGGCCCGGCGCTGCCGCCGCTCCCGGAAGCCCCGGACAGGCGGGGCGAGCGCGGGGCCGCGGTGGGAGCGGAGCGGGACCGGACCGGCCATGGTGGGGCCGGGGGACACCGGCGGGGGGGCCTTCGGGGGGCGCCGGGCTATGCAGGGGCTGGCGGGGGGTCCGCGGGGCAGCCCCGGGGCTGTTTGGGGGTGTTTAGGTGGTGTCTGTGGAGGGGGGGGTGCCCGGGGTGCCCGTAGGGTGCTTGGGGGTCCCTCTGGGGGGTCCCTCTGGGGTATCTGGAGTGTGCATGGGGGTCTGGGGTACATATGGGCTGCCAAGAGTGCCCACGGGGTACTTGGGGAAATGCCTGTGGGGTGACTGGGGTGGATACTGGGGGCATATGGAGTGTACGTGGGGTGCCAGGGGGGTACCCACGGGGTGTGAGGGGTGTCTGGTGTGCCCACAGGGTGCTTGGGGGGTCCCTCTGGGGGCTCTGGGGTGTGTGGGGGGGCCTGGGGTGCCCGTGAGGCACTTGAGGAAGTGCCCAGGGTGCTTTGAGATGCCCATAGGATGCTTAGGGGTTCCTCTGGGGCTTCTGGAGTGTGTGGGGGAGGATCTGGGGTGCCTATACAGTGCTGGGGGGTGCCCAGGGAACCCACAGGATGTCTGGGGAAGTGCCTATGGGTGCTTGGGTTGAACGTGGGGTGCTTGTGGGGTGCTCAGGGCACCTATGGGGTGCCCAGAGTGCCCACAGGGGGCTTGGTGGGTACTTTTGGGGTGCCTGGGGGGTGCCCAGGTTGCCCATGGAGCGGTTGGGGGTTTCCCGGGGTGCCCATGGGGTGCCTGGGGGGTGCCCAGGGTGGGTGTGGGCTGCTGGTAGTGCCCCCTGAGCCCTGCCCCGTGCTGCAGGCGGGGGTCCCGGCGGGGGTCCCAGAGGGGGACCCGACAGATGCCACGACGGGGGACGGGCGCGTGCGGGCGCTGCAGAGGGAGGTGCAGGGGGTCACCACCATCATGACCCAGAACGTGGAGCGGATCCTGGCACGGGGGGAGAACCTGGAGCAGCTGCACAGCAAGAGCCAGGACCTGGAGGCCACCGTGAGGGGGGCACAGGGGCACTGGGGTGGGCACTGGGACCCCAGGGTGGGCACAGGATCATTGGGGTGAGCATGGGGTCATTGCGGTGGGTACGGGGTCATTGGAGCGGGCATGGGGTGGCACGGGGTGACCAGTGGGGCAACAGGGTCATCAGGGTGGGCACAGGGACCCCGGGATAGCACAGGATTCCCAATGTGACGTGGGGTCCCCCAAAGTGGGCACAGGGCCCCTGAGGGGACACAAGGTCCCTAAGGTGGCATGGGGTCACCAGGGTGGTCACAGGGTCATTGGGGTGGGCACAGGAACCCCAGGGTGGGCATGGGGTGATCAGGGTGGGCACAGGGTCCCCATGATGGGCACAGGGGCTCTGAGGGGATCACAAAGCCCCCGAGGTGGCACAGGACTCCTGAGGGGGCACAGGGTCCCTGGGGTGGGTGCCGGGACCCCGGGGGGAACACGAGGTCCCCAGGGGGGGCTGCAGGGTGCCCAGTGGGTTGGCATGGGACACTTGGGTGGCAGGAGGTGTCCCCAGGGTGACAGTGGGGGCCCCAGGGTGGCAGTGGCGTGTCCCCAGGAGGTCAGAGCTGTCCCTTGTGTGGCAGTTGGGGTTTCCAGAGTAGCAGGGTGTCCCTGGGTTGGCAGTGTTGGCCTTGGAGTGGCAGCTGAGTGTCCTCAGAGTGATAGTGGCTGGTCCCCAGGGTGTCAAGTGTGTCCCCAGGATGTCATGGGTGTCCCTGGGGTGGCAGAGGTGTCCCCAAAGGGGCAGTGGGTTGTCCTCAGGGTGAGAGGGCTGTCCCCAGTGTCTCAGCAGATGTCCCCAGGGTGGCACCGGGTGTGTCAGGGCTGTCCCTGGGGTGGCAACGGGGTGTCCCCAGGGTGTCAGAGTCGTCCCCAGGGTGTCAGTGGGTTGTCCCCAGGGCGTCAGGGGTGTCCCCGTGTCCCCGCAGTCGGAGCACTTCCGAACCACGTCCCAGAAGATGGCCCGGCGCTACTGGTGGAAGAACGTGAAGCTGCTCGTCATCCTCGGCCTCGTGGGTGCCATCGTCCTCATCCTCATCATCCTCCTGGCCACTGGCACCATCCCCACCTAGAACCACCGTCCTGTGGGGACACGGCCACCCTGGAGCTGAATACACACGGGGGGACGAGACAGAGGGACGTGTGTGTGTGTGCTGGGGGGGCATGGGGGGATATGGGGGGACACAGGAGGATGGCCATGGGGACATGGGGAGCACACAGGGACATGGGGGGACATGGGGGGACACAGGGACACAGACATGGGGGCACTGGGGACAGGTATGGGGACACATGGGGACATGGGAATATGCATGAGGAGATGGGGGGACACGGTGAGGGACAGGCCCTGGGGACATGTGGGGATGTGTGTAGGGACAACACATCAGTCACGAGGGAAACACGCGTGGGGATGGGGGGGGGCAGCAGGTGCCATGCCAGGGCGTGGGGGTGGTGCCAGGCACAGAGGGACAAAGGGCACAGTGTGGTGGTGGTGGTGGCACTGCCACCCTGGGGGGGCTGGGACGGGCGGGGGACAGGGACATGGGGGGACATGGGTGGCCCAGGGTGGCCCCATGTCTGCAGGGACTTGGGGACACCAACACGTGGGGGGCTGTGGGGACCCATTTCTGGGGGACAGGGTGGTCTCTGGGGGACACATTTCTGTGGGGCCTGGAGGTCCCTGTATTCGGGGGCCTGTAGGGATGGGAGGGGTGTCTCGGGGACATGGGGGTCCCTGGGGGGCAGGGAACACCCCAGTATTTGGGGGCCTGTGGGGGGGAAGGTGTCTCTGGGGACATGGGGTTCCCGGGGGACCCCGCAGCTGGGGAGGGTTGAGTGGGGTGTCCCGGGGACCCCCGCCCCGGGCGGTAGGGCCGGGATGTCCAGGGGACACCTGGAGACACTCGGGGCTGGGGGGTGGGGGGGGCGGTCCCGGTCCCTCCCGTCGGGGGCGGCCGCTGGAGCCCGGGACGGGACGGGACGGGCGCTCCGGGACCGGGCACCGACCTCGGGACCGGGACCGACCTCCGGGACCGCACTGAGCCCCCGGGACCGGGACCATGGTGAGTTCCGGGCCACCACCGCCGCTTTCGCTTTCGCTTCCCGAAGGGCGGACCGGGATCGGGGAGACCCCTGGGCTCGGAACTCCCCGGAGCCGGTCCCGGTGCCGGTCCGCCCCCCCGAGCTGTCCCTGCGGGCGGGAGGGACACGGCCCCCCTCGGGGTGGCCGGCGCGGGATTTTCCGTGTCCCCCTGTCTCTGCGTGTCCCGGCCCCCGTGTCGTCTGTGTCCCCTGCCACGCCCCGTCCCCGCCGATCCCGGTAATCCCGGTGTCCCCGCGTGTGCCCCGACCCCGCAGGGCCCGTGTCCCCCCGATCCCCGTCCTTGGCCCATATCCCCACGGTTTTCTGTCCCCGTGGTCCCCGTGTGCCCCCTCCTCGCAGTACCAGTGTCCCCACGGTCCCCCTGTGCCCCTTCCCTGCGGTGCTCTTGTCCTCACGGTCCTTGTGACCCGTGGTCACCCTTTGTCCCCGGATTGCCAGTGTCCCCATGGTCCCCGTGTCCCCATGATCCTCATGTCCCCCTGGTCTCCACGGTCCTCCTTCCCCGCGGGTGCTCCTATCCCCAGCGTTCTCGCAGCGTCTCCCCCGTGTCCCCACGGTGTCCCCCCACGTCCCTTGTCCCCCGTGTGTCCCCAGGCGGGGCTGGCGCGGTGCCAGCGCCAGGCGGAGGAGGTGACCGAGCTGATGCGGCAGAACTTGGAACGGGCGATGGAGCGGGAAGGGCACCTGGAGCGGCTGCAGAGCCGGGCCCAGGACCTGCGACAGGCGGTGCGACCGCGGGGACGGGTGGCTGGGGATGGGGGTGGCACTACAGGGACACACAGACCTGGGGACACACGGCTGGGGACTGGGGTGGCACTATTGGGACATACAGACCTGGGGACACACGGCTGGGGACTGGGGTGGCACTATTGGGACATACAGACCTGGGGACACACACGGCCGGGGATGGTGGCACTATTGGGACGCCTGGAATGGCTGCAGACCCGGGCTTGGGACCCTGGGGACATGTGACCAGGGACGGGGGTGGCACTGTAGGGACATATAGCCCTGGGAGGGGACACACAGAGCTCTGGAGGGCATTATAGAGACACACAGCCCGAGGGGGACACGCAGAGCCCTGGGGGGCATTACAGGGCTGTGGAGCCCCGGGGAGGGGACACAGGGCCATGGAGGGGCTGTGTGTCACCCCCGTGGGCTGTCCCCTGTACCCCCCGTGTCCCATTGCAGAGCGAGGCCTTCACCCGCAGCACTCGGGCGGTGACGCGGCGACAGCGCCGGGGACGGCGCCGCTGGCTCCTGGTGGCCCTCGGCCTTGGCCTCTTCCTCCTCCTCCTCCTGCTGGGCCTGGGCCTGGCACTGGCCCTGGCACGGTCACCTCCAGCCACTGCCACTGTCCCCACCCCGCAGGCACGGACTGAGCCCCCCCCCAGCACTGTGGGGACCCTCTGACAACAGAGCAATGGGGGGGCCCCACGATAAATAAACAGCAGGATTTGTTCGGGTAGACCCTACCATAACAAACCACTGGGATGATCTTCAGGGAGACTCAACAAAAAATAAGCACCAGGATCTCATTCGGGGAGACCCGACAATAATAAACCTGCAGGATGAGCTCTGGGGAGACCCCACAATAAATACACACCCAGATCTGCTTTAGAGAGACCCTACAATAACAAACGTGCCAGACCTTCTTTGGAAAAACTGCACAAGAACAGAAGAGCAGGACCCACCCAAGGGAGACCCTGTAATAAACACCAGGAGCTCTTTGGGGAGACCCTACAATAACAAACCAGCAGGACCCACTTCAGGGAGACCCTACGATAAATCAGCACCTGTACATGATTCAGGGAGACCCTACAATAACAGAGCAGGAAGACGAGTTCCAGGGAGACCTTACAATAATGAACATGCTGGACCCACTCTGGGGAGACCGTACAATAAATAAGCATCAAGACTTGTTTGGGAAGGCTCTACAATCACAAACCAGGAGGAGGAACTTCAGGGACACTCTACAATAAATAAATAACCAGGATCTGTTTTAGGGAGACCCTATAATAACAAAAGCTCTAGAATCTGCTTTGTAGACACACTAGAAAAACAAATCAGTGGGATGAGCTCTGGGGACACTCTACAATAAATAAACACCACGACTCGTTTGGAGAGATCCTACAATAACAAACATGCTGGACCCCCTCTGGGGAGACCCTACAATGAAAGCAGCGGGATGATCTTCAGGAAGACCCTACAATCAACAAACACTGGGATGTGTTTGGGGAAACCCCACAATGACAAATAAGGGGGATTGATTTGGGGTAGACCCCACAATAACAAACCCGTGGGATCTACTTCAGAGAGACCCTACAATAGATAACCACCAGGATTTATTTGGAGAAACCCTACAATAACAAACCAGCAGGATGATCTTCATGGAGACCCTACAATAACAAACGTGCTGGACCCACTCGAGGGAGACCCTACAATAAATAAACACAAGAAATTGTTTGTGGACAGCCTATGATAACAGAGAAACTACAATAAATAAGCTCTACGATCTGTTTTTTAGAGACCCTATAATAACAAACGAATAAGTTCAGCTCCAGGAAGACCCTACAATAAATGAGCACCAGGACCTGGTTTGGGGAGACCCTACAATAACAAAACAATGGGGTAATCTTCAGGAAGACTTTACAATAGCAAACATATTGGGGAGACTCTACAATAACAGAGCAGCAGAGTGACCCCTGGGGAGACCCCACGATAAATAAGCACCAGGATCAGCTTTGGGGAGACCCTACAATAACAAGTGTGCCAAACCCCTCTGGGGAGATCCTGTGATATGTAAACCCCAAGAATTGTTTGGGGAGACCCTATAGTAACAAACCAGTGGGATTTGCTCAGAGTAGACCCTACAATAACAAAGAGATCTTATGATAAATAAGCACCAGAATCTGCTTTGGGGAGACCCTACAATAACAAACCAGCAAGGTGATCTTCAGGGAGACCCTACAATAGCAAATGGATCCTACAATAAAAAAACCACCAAAACCTACTTAAGGTAGGCCCTACAGTAATAACTCCTTGTGTCTTCTCTTGAGAAACCCTACAACACCAAAGCAGTAGGATGGTCTCTGTGAAGACCCTACAATAACAAATGTGCCAGATCCTCCAGAGAGACCCTATGACAAATTAGCACTGGGACTTGCCTTGGGGAGACCCTACAATAACAAACCAGCAGGACCTTTCCAGGGAGACCCTACAATTAATAAACACTAGCATCTAGTTCTGGGAGACCCTACAATAACAAACCAATGATATGATCTCTGGGAAGACCCTACAATAACAAACATGACAGACCTACTTTAGGGAGACCCTACAGTAGACAAACACCATGACTTGCTTGGAGACACCCTACAATAATGAATCAGCAAGACCCACTTCAGGGAGACCTGATGATAACAAATGAGCTGGACACTTTTTAGGGAGGCTCTACAATAAATAAACACCAGAACCTGCTTTGGGGTAAACCCTACAATAACCCCCCGCCATGCCTCGCTGCTGGGAGACCCTACAATAACAGAGCAGGGGGGTGATCTCCAGGGAGACCCTATGATAACACCCCCTTCCTTGCTCCCAGGAGACCCTACAGGTCCTGATTCAGGGAGCCCCAACCCCAACAGACCCCCCCCAACCCACTCTGGGGAGACCCTACAATAACACACCAGTGGCACCCACCCCGGGGACACCCCACTTTGGTCACAGGTGGCACCAACCTGGGCCAGGGGCAGGAGGGGGCTGTGGCCCCCAGAGGGGTCCCTGGTGACATGGTGACATCGGGGAGGGGACCCAGGGAGGGTCCCTGGGCAAACAATGGCACCGGGGAGGGGACAGAGGGGGCGGGCGGACATGGCACCACAGCCACCTACACAGGGACACCCTGGCAGGGGACTCTGAGGGGGATGACACACGGGGGTCCCCAGGAGCCCCCCCGGATGTCCCCCTGCCCCAGTGTCCCCAGCAGTGACAGACACCGGAGCCTCGCAGCACCTTTATTGACACCGGCGGGGGTGGCACCGGTCCCTGGGGGGGTGGCACCGTCCCGGGGGGGTGCCCGTGTCCCCTGGGGGGGGTGGCAGGGTCAGCCTGTGCCCCGGCGCTTGCTGAGCTCGTCCTGCACGCGCTGGCACAGGGCCCTGCGCAGGGGGGGCTCCAGGGGGCTGCGGGCGCACACCCGGCGCGTCACCTCCTCCGCGCTGTCCTCCTGGGGGGGCACGGCACTGCTGGGGACACGGCACCCGGGGAGCCCCACGGCACCCACAGAGCCCCCACGGCACCCACAGCACCCCCATCACCCACAGCACCCCCATGGCACCCACAGAGCCCCCAGCCCCACAGACCCCCCCCAGCACTGCTGGGGACACAGCACCCAGGGAGCCCCACAGGGCACCCACAGAGCCCCCATGGCACCCACACCCAGGGCACCCCCTGCCCCATGGGACCCCATGGCACCCCTTGCCCCAGAGCAGCACATCCTGTCCCACAGAAGCCCCCAGGCACCCACTGCACCTCATGGCACGCCCTTCCCCATAGAACTCCCCCCCAACACCCACTGGGCCCCACAGCGGCACCCCTGCCTCATGGAATCCCCTCCTACGGCACCCCACACCACCACCCCCTGCCCCATGGAATCGCTTCCCATGGCACCCCACACCACCACCCCTGGCCCACAGTGGCACCCCACTGCCCCACGGGACCCCGTTGCTCAATGGGCACCCCCTGCCCCACAGCACCTCTCACCCACAGCACCCCAACCCTACGGCACTCCCGGCCCCACAGCAGCACCTCCGATCCCACGGGACCCCCCAGACACTCAATGGGTACCCACTGTCCCATGGGACCCCCCTACCCATGGCAGCACCTCCTGCCCCACAGAACCCCCCCGGTGCCCCATCGCCCCCCGGGGTCACACCTGGTGCACGATCACGGCCGTGATGGTCCCGTCGTCCCCCTCGTACTCGAGGCAGAAGAGCCGCGGCCCCCGGGAGGGGTCAGGGGGGGCCCCGCGGGGGTCGCCGGGGGGGGGCCCCGCGCTGGCATCGCCCCCGGGACCCCCTGTGGCACCTGCACCCTCAGCGGGGGCTGTGAGACCCCCGAGGAGCCCCAACCCAGCACCCCCTCAGTGCCCCCCCATCCACACCTGGGGTCCCCCCGACCCCCTCCGCCCTTGAGTGCCCCCCCAGGGATGCCCCCCCATTCCCCACCCATATCCTGGGCGCTCCCTCTTGTCCCTTGGATGCCCCCACCCCTGTCACCAACACGGGCGCCCCCCACCCCTGACCCCCTCCGGGTGCCCCCCCACTCCCCAGCTCCCCCTGGATCCCCCCCCTCCCCCCAACCCAGGGTTGCCCCCCCCCTACTGTCACCCCCTTGGATGTCCCCCCCCAGCACCCAAGGGTGCCACCCCCTCCCCACCCATCTCCTGGGGTCCCACCCGCTGTCCCCCCACCTTAGTGACCCCCAACCCCCCCAGGGGTGCCCTCCGTGTCCCCCGACCCTTGGGTGCCGCCCCCGTCCCCCCCTCAGCCGCCCCGCCGCAGCCCCCGTGCCCCGCTCACCGCAGCCCCGGGGCCGGTACACCTGTTGGTCGGGCCGGCGGGGCCGGGGCGGGTTCGGGGTGAGCCGGGTGCGCGCCCGGCCCCGCGCCTGCCGCACGGCGCGGTCGTACGCGTCCCTGCGCACCGGGAACCGGTTACCGGGGGTGGGGGGACGCGGCGGGAGCGGGGGGTGCGCGGAACCGCCGGCGATGTTACCTGGCGAGCTGGTTGCGGCGGATGTGCCGCACGAAGCCGTGGCTCATGTCGAGCCGCCCGCCCGGCCGGCAGCGCCAGCCCGGGGCCGGGGCCGCCGCCTCCATCCCGGTTACCGGGGAGGTCGGTCCCGGGGACGCGGCGCCTTTAAGAGCCCCGCGGGCCCGGCGGCCGCGCGTGCGCAGAGCCCTCAGCGGCGAGCGCTGACCCCGCCCCTTCAGCCGAGCGTGCGCACGGCGCGGCCCCCGCGCCCCCCGCGCAGGCGCAGTGCGCGCGCGCCACCGCCATGTCGAGCCGCGGGCGGCGGGAGCGGGAGCGGGACCAGCGCGGGGCCGCCCGGAGCCGCCGCGAGTCCGAGGCGGAGCGGCCGCGGGGCCGGCGGGACTCCGAGCGCGACCGCGCGCGGAGGGAGGCGGCGGAGGCGCTGCCGGTGGATCTCGCTCGCGTCAAGCGGGAACCGGGCACCGGGGGCGGCTCCGGGGCGGGATCTGGGACCGCCGCGCCCGCCGCGCCCGTGCGGGTGAAGCGAGAGCGGGAGCCCGATGGAGACTCCGACCCTGAGCCTGAGCCCGCCGGTGGGAACCGGGAGTGGAAAGCGGGGGTGAAGCGGGGGGACAGGGGGGAATGGGGTCTGAGGGGACCGAGGGGACACACTGGGGCGTAGGGGGAGCACAGGGTGGCGAGGACTGGGGGGGGCTGAGAGGACAGGGGTTGTTCCGGGGGACACCGGAGGATGAGGGGGGAGGGTGTGAGGGGACACGGGGGTGGGGGGTACGGGACTGGAGGGGTGGGGGGCACCGGGGGGGTGCGGACAGAGCCAGAGGTGTGTGTGGGGTGACACCGCTGTGGGGTCTGGGGGACACTGGAGAGGCATCAGGCGGGGGGAGGTGGGGGCTGTGGGGTGTGAGGGGACACTGAGGGATCTGGGGGGCACTGGGGAGGGTGTGTGGGGGTCACAGTGATGTCCCGGAGGACACTGGGGTTGGGGGGGGCAGGACGGTGTGTGGGGGGGTGAACTGGGGTGTCTGGGAGGGGGCACTGGGGGGTGGAGACGTGGGGGTGTGTTGGGGGACACACTGGGGTGTAGGAGGGGCAGCGGGGGGGTGGGAGGGGCAGGGAATGGAGTGACTGGGGGCCACTGGGATGGGGACACACACCAGGGTGGGAATGGAGAGTTTGAGGGTATGGTGCGGGACAGGACACACCAGGCATTCCCAGGGGGGCACACGGTCTGACTCTGGGGGTGCTGAGCTCAGCTCTGGGCAGTGGTTGGAGGCACTGGGGGGAGCTGGGGCTCAGCCCCAGGGGTCTGTAAGGAGGGGGGCATCGCCCTGGTGCTGTCAGGGCCCTGTGCCCCCCTCTAACACCTCCCCCACCCCCAGTGCGCTACGGTCGCTTCGACCCCGAGGACCAGCGGAGCCGCCACTGCCCCTACCTGGACACCATCAACAAGTGGGTAATGGGGCCTGGGGGGCTCCCCCTACCCCTCCTGGGGGTACCCCTGTGCCTGGGGGTTCCCTCAGCCCCCCTCAGCCCTGTGACCCTCCCCAGGAGTGTCCTGGACTTCGACTTTGAGAAGCTCTGCTCCATCTCCCTGTCCCACATCAACGTCTACGCCTGTCTGGTCTGCGGGAAGTACTTCCAGGGTGAGACCTGCCCCAGAACTGGGGGGGACATGGGGGACACGTGGGGGACATGGGGACAGCAGGGACACCCGGGGGCTGTGTGGGGGCCACAGGGACAGCAGGGACACCCGGGGGCTGTGTGGGGAACATTGGGGACATCAGGCTGCTGTGGGGGACAGGGACACTCGGGAGCGAGGGGGAATGGGGGACATCCAGGGACTGGGGTGCTGGGGGGGACAGGGACACACAGGGATGGAGGTGCTGCTGGGGGTGGGACGTGGGGGACACCCAGGGCTGGGGTGCTGCAGGGGGCACAGGGACCCTTGGTGAGGGCAGAGCCCCCCCATACGTAGGTGAGGGATTTTTTCTGTCCTGCCTGTCCTGTCCCATGGCTTCTGTGTACCTCTCTGGTGACCCAAGTGTTCCCTCCTTGCCCCCCTGTTCCTGTGGTGACACCCCTGAGCCTGTGGTGTCTCCCCCTTTGTTCTCCTCTGAACCTGTGGTGTCCCCCCCGAGCCCGTGGTGTCCCCCTGTCCCCCCCTGAGCCTGTGGTGTCCCCCTGTCCCCTCCTGATCCCGTGGTGTCCCCCTGTCCCCCCCGAGCCTGTGGTGTCCGCTCCTGAGCCCGTGGTGTCCCCCTGTCCCTCTCTGAGCCTGTGGTGTCCCCCCCGAGCCTGTGGTGTCCCCCTGTCCCCCCCTGAGTCCATGGTGTTCCCCTGAGTCCATGGTGTTCCCCCCTGAGCCCGTGGTGTCCCCCTGTCCCCCCCTGAGCCCATGGTGTTCCCCCCTGAGCCCGTGGTGTCCCCCTGTCCCCCCCTGATGGTGTTCCCCCCTGAGCCCGTGGTGTTCCCCCCTGAGCCCGTGGTGTCCCCCTGTCCCCCCCTGAGCCCATGGTGTTCCCCCCTGAGCCCGTGGTGTCCCCCTGTCCCCCCCTGAGCCCATGGTTTTCCCCCCTGAGCCCGTGGTGTCCCCCTGTCCCCCCCTGAGCCCATGGTGTTCCCCCCCCATGGTGTTCCCCCCTGAACCCGTGGTGTCCCCCTGTCCCCACAGGCCGCGGGCTGAAGTCCCACGCCTACATCCACAGTGTGCAGCTGAGCCACCACGTGTTCCTCAACCTGCACACGCTCAAGTTCTACTGCCTACCCGACAACTACGAGATCATTGACTCCTCCCTTGAGGACATCACGGTGCAGGGGCACTGGGGGCACCCACTGCTGAGGGCACCCACTGCTGGGGAGGCAGCGTTGGGGGGCCTCAGCTGTGAGGGGGGTCAGGTTTGGGGTACCCTGGCTCTGAGGGGTGAGGTTTGGGTGTACTGCTGTTCTGTGGGGGGTCAGCTTGGGGTACCCCTGTTCTGAGGGGAGTCAGGTTTGGGTTTTCTCTGTTTTGAGAAATCAGGTTTGGGGTTGCCCTTGTTCTGAGGGGCCAGATTTGGGCACCTCCATTCTGAGGGGGATCAGTTTGAGTCCCCCGCATTCTGAGGGGGTCAGGCTTGGGGTCCCCCCTCATGCTGAGGGGTCAGGTGTGGGTTCCCCCTATCCTGAGGTGTCAGCTGTGGATTCCCCCCTGTTCTGAGGGGTCAGGTTTGGGTCCCCCCCATTCTGAGGGGTCAGGTTTGGGTTCCCCCCATTCTGAGGGGTCAGGTTTGGGTTCCCCCCATTCTGAGGGGTCAGGTTTGGGTTCCCCCCATTCTGAGGGGTCAGGTTTGGGTCCCCCCCATTCTGAGGGGTCAGGTTTGGGTTCCCCCCATTCTGAGGGGTCAGGTTTGGGTTCCCCCCATTCTGAGGGGTCAGGTTTGGGTTCCCCCCATTCTGAGGGGTCAGGTTTGGGTCCCCCCCATTCTGAGGGGTCAGGTTTGGGTCCCCCCCATTCTGAGGGGTGCCTCTCCCCGCAGTACGTGCTCAAGCCCACCTTCACAGCCCAGCACATCGCCCACCTGGACAAACAGGCCAAGCTGTCCCGGGCCTACGATGGCACCACGTACCTGCCGGGCATCGTGGGGCTCAACAACATTAAGGCCAATGACTATGCCAACGCTGTGCTGCAGGTCACTGGGACGGGCTGCCCTGGGGGGGAACAGCCCAGAACCCCACAGGGGGATCGTGGGAGTGAATCCCACCTTTCCCACGGGAGATACACCGTGGGGGGGGTACAGGCTTTGTTTGGGGTGAACCCCCAGCATGGCCCCACTCTGGGGGTCCTGGGGATGAGTCCCATTTCCTGTCTCACACACTTTACACCTGGAGAGTACAGAGTTCATTTTGGGGTGAAACCACCCCAGAACCTTGCTGTGGGGCTGACAGGGATGAATCCCACGTCCACTCTCGCAGGCTTTACACCTGGGAGGTGCAGGCTTTGTTTTGGGGTGACACCATCCTATAACCCCCCCAAAACCCCACTGTGGGGGTTCTGGGGAGGAATCCCACCTCTCTTTTCACAGGTTTTACACACAGGGGAGTGCAGGTGTTTCATTTTGGGACGAAGTCCTCTCAAAACTGTCCCAAACCCTTTCCCAAAACCCCACTCTAGAGTTCCCAGGGGGGAATCTCACATCCTTTCCCACAGGCTTTACACCTTGAGGGTACAAGCTTTGTTTTGGGGTGAAACTCCTGCATAGCCCCCTTCCAGATCCGTGCTCTCGGGGCTCTGGGGATGAATCCCACAGGGTTTACACACAGAGGGCATGCAGGCTTCTTTTTGGGCATGAAACCCCCCCATAACCCCTAAATCCCCGCTCTGGGGATGAATCCCACCTCCTGCCCCAGGGGCTCTGCACCTGCTGGGGGTGCAACCCTCAGAAACCCTCCAGAACCCTCGCAGATCCCCTCTCTGGGGGTCCCGGGGGTTGAATCCCCCCTGCTGCCCCCAGGCCCTGTCCAACGTGCCCCCCCTGCGGAATTACTTCCTGGAGGAGGAGAACTACCGGCGCATCCAGCGCCCGCCCGGGGACATCATGTTCCTGCTGGTGCAGCGCTTCGGGGAGCTCATGAGGAAGCTCTGGAACCCCAGGAACTTCAAGGCTCATGTGTCACCCCATGAGATGCTCCAGGCTGTGGTGCTCTGCAGCAAGAAGAACTTCCAGATCACCAAGCAGGGTGGGCTTTGGGGGGACAGGGCTGGGTCTGAGGGGTCTGGGTTTGGGGAGCAGGGCTGAAATTTAGGGGCAGTGCTGGATTGGGGAAGAAATGCTGGATTTGGGGGGCAGAGCTGGACCCAGGGAGCTCTGCATTTGGGGGGCAGGGCTGGATTTGGCAGTCTCTGCACTCGGAGTGCAGTGCTGGGCCTGGGGGGCTCTGGGTCTGGGGGACAGCACTGGATTTGAAAGGCAGTTCTGGACCTCTGGGGTGTTCTGGATTTGAGGGCAGTGCTGGACCCAGGGGTTTCTGGATTTGGGGTGCAGGGCTTGGTTTGGGTGACACTGCTGGGTTTGGAGACAGGGCTGGGTCTGGGGGCTCTGGATACAGGAGATAGGACTGGGTTTGGGGGAGCTCTGGATCTGGGGGGCAGCAGTAGATCTGGGAGACATCACTGGATTTGGAGGCTGGGCTGGGTCTGGGGGATCTGGATTTGGGGGCAGTGCTGGGTTTGGGTGGCAGCACTGGATATGGGGACCAAGCTGGATTTGAGGCAGCAGAGGAGGATGTGGGGGGACAGCAGGATTTGAGGGGCAGAGCAGGATGTGGGGTGCAGTGCTGGATTTGAGGGGCAGTGCTGGGTGGGGCAGAGCAGGATCCAGGGTCAGCTCTGGCTCCAGCCCTGCTGTGCCCCCGTTGCAGGGGACGGGGTGGAATTCCTGTCCTGGTTCCTGAACGCTCTGCACGCGGCGCTGGGCGGCACCAAGAGGAAGAAGAAGAGTGAGTGGGGGGGGGGGGAGATTTTGGGGGGTCCGGGGGGGCCTCTGTCTCCCTGCTGTCTCTGCTGAGCCCCCCCTGTCCCCACAGCCATTGTCACCGACGTGTTCCAGGGCTCCATGCGCATCTTCACCAAGAAACTGCCACACCCCGACCTGGTGGGAACGGGGGGAGTGGGAGGGTTGGGGTCACACGGGGGTGTTGGGGTACAGGGGGGGTGTTGGGGTCACACGGGGGTGTTGGGGTGCAGTGGGGGGTGATGAGTTCAAATGGGGGCTGAGGCCAGGGAAGGTCTGGGAGAGGGTGTTGGGGTACCGTGGGGTATGGTGGGGGGTGTTGGGTTCAAACAAGGGGGGGGAGGTGCAGCTGGGGGTGTCGGGGTCAGATGGGGGTGTCAGGGTCCAGCGGGGTGGTGGGGGACAGTGGGGGGTTATTGGGGTCAGATGGGGGTGGTGGGGTAGAATGGGGGGGGTTGGGGTGCAGTGGGGGTGTTGGGGTCTGGGGGAGGGCATTGGGCCCCAAGGGGGAGCGTTGGGGTCCCACAGGGGTGTCACCCAGGGGTCCCACCCCCCAGCCCGCGGAGGAGAAGGCACAGCTGCTGCAGAACAGCGAGTACCAGGAGCGCATGGTGGAGTCCACCTTCCTGTACCTGACCCTGGACCTGCCCACGGCCCCGCTCTACAAGGACGAGAAGGAGCAGCTCATCATCCCCCAGGTGCCCCTGTTCAGCATCCTGGCCAAGTTCAACGGCAGCACCGAGAAGGAGTACAAGACTTACAAGGAGAACTTCCTGAAGCGCTTCCAGCTGACCCGCCTGCCCCCCTACCTCATCTTCTGCATCAAGCGCTTCACCAAGAACAACTTCTTCGTGGAGAAGAACCCCACCATTGTCAACTTCCCCATCACGTGAGCCAGGGCTGGGGGCGCTGGGGGGGGCTGGGAGCCTGGGGAGGGGGTTTAAAGCATCTGGGAGGAGACGGGGGTGTTGACGATGTCTAGGGGTGGTTGTGGGTGTGTGTGGGAGGTTGTAGGTATCTTAAGAGGGGTTGAAAGCATCCATGAGGGGCTTTTGGGGTTTGAAGTCATCTAAAGGGGCGAGGGGGGGGGTTGGGGAGGGCGTGGGAGGGTTGGGAGTGTGTGGAGGGGGTTAAAAGCATCCCAGAGGAGATTGTGAGTAGTGGGGCAGGGTTGACAATGTCTAGGCATGGTTGTGGGTGTGTGGAGGGGGTTGTAGGTATCTAAGAGGGGTTGAAAGTATCCAGGAGGGGGGTTTAGCATTTGAAATCATCTAAAGGGGCTTTGAAGGCACTTTGGGAAGGGTTGGATACACTTGATGGGGTTTAAAACCACTTAGGAGGGGATTGTTTGAGGGTGTCTAGGGGAGGGTTGTAGGTATCTGGGACATGGTAGAGGCATCTAGGAGGGTGTTTGAAGGTGCCTGGAGAAGATTTGTGGGTGTTGGGAGGGATTGTAGCCGTCTGGGAGGGATTTGTGGGCATCTGGAGGTGTTCTGGGCATCTTTGGGGGGTTCTGTGGCTATCAGGGAAGGGTTTGAAAACATCTGGGGGGAGTTGAGTGTGTCTGGGAAGGAAGGGGGTGTGGGCACTGAGAAGAGGTTTGGAGGCATCTGGGGAGGGGGGTGTCTGTGCATCTGGAGGGGGTTTGGAGGCATCTGGAGGGGTCTGTGGGGGCTCCCCTGCCCCCCTGAGGGCACGTGGGGTGCCCAGGAACGTGGACCTGCGGGAGTACCTGTCGGAGGAGGTGCAGGCGGCGCACGCTCACACCACCTACGACCTCATCGCCAACATCGTGCACGATGGGAAGCCCTCAGAGGGCTCCTACCGCATCCACGTCCTGCACCACGTGAGTGTCCCCCTCCCGGGGGGCTCTGGGGGGGCCACGGGGACCCCCTGGCCCACCCTGTCCCCTCCTGGTCCTGGCAGGGCACAGGGAAGTGGTACGAGCTGCAGGACCTGCAGGTGACCGACATCCTGCCACAGATGATCACCCTGTCCGAGGCCTACATCCAGGTGAGGGGGGCAGGGGGCAGCTGGCACCTCCAGGATGTCCCTGGCACCACCAGGATGTGCTCTGACCACCCCTCCCCCTCTCCCACAGATCTGGAAACGGCGCGAGGAGGATGAGACAAACCAACAAGGGGCCTGAGACCCCCTGGGGACACCCAGAGACCCCCTTGGGATCACTCCCAGTCCCTTGTGGAGATGCAGAGACGCCTTTGGGGACACCCCAGGCTCCCTTGGGGACATCCAGAACCCCCCTGGAAGCAACAACAGCCGTCTCTGGGACACCCCAAGATCCCCTTGGGGACACCCAGAGAGCCCTGGGGACACCCTGAGCCCCTTGGGGACACCCTGAGCCCCTTGGGGACACCTAGGTCTCCTTGGGATCACCCATAACCCCTCCGGGGACACCCCCAAGCCCCTTGGTGTGTCTCTCCCCACCCCAAATAAATGCCACCCACTTATTTTTGTAGCTCATTTTCACCTTTTCTCTTCTTTGTGTTTAGGGGGGTCATGGTTTCCACTGCTTCTCCCCCCTGACCCCCCAGCACCCCGTGACCCCCAGAAACACCCCAAAAAACTGGGAACACAGAGGCAGAGCTGCATCCAAACTTTATTGGGAAGTGCTGGGGGGGGCCCCAGAGCCCCTCTACAGCCAGACGTGCTCCTGGCAGTGCTGCAGGGCCTGGGGGGCACAGAGGGGTCAGTGGGGGGTGCGGGGGGTGCCACCCCTCCATGTGCCCCCTGTCCCCACTCACCTGGCAGCGCCGGGCGGGCTCGGGGCTGGAGCACCAGTACATGGGGCCCAGGGCACAGGGGCCCAGGGGGGGTGACAGCACGGGGGGGGCGACACCCTTGAGGTCCTGCGGGGGGGACATGGGTGTCAGGGGTCCCCCCAAGGGTGGGGACACCCCAGGGAGCCTCCTGGAACCCCCTCCCCGGGGCTGTGACGTCCTTGGGGTGTCCCTTGGGGTTGTGACACTCGGTGCCCTCCCCCACTTGGGTCACTCTTGAGTGACCCCTTCGAGGCCTGTGACACCCTTGGGGACCCTGACACTGTCCTCTCAGTGGGGGTGGCACCTTCTGGGGACCTCATGGTGTGCCCAGGGGTGGTGGGACTCCCTCGAGACTGATACCCCTGGACGTGTCCCCTCGGGGCTGTGCCACCGTTTGTGTCCCTGCCATGGCCCCTGGGGACTGTGACGCCCTCGGGATGTGTCCCAAGGACTGTGGCACCCCTGGACATGTTCCCTCAGGGCTGTGCCACCCTGGGGTGCCCCGTCACCTCCCCGGGGACCTGTCCCCTCACCTCGGGGCCCACGCACTCCGCCAGCCGCACCACGATGGCCTCCAGCAGCGCCGGTGGCGCGCCCGCGTCGTCCGCGGTGCCCTGGCAGGCGAGGAGCAGGCGGCACAGCAGGCGCGGGCCCAGGCGGCCCAGCAGCCCCTCGAGCAGGAGGGTGGCGTAGCGCTGGGCCAGGCACTGGCACGCACCCACGGCCACCAGCGGCAGCGCCCGGCACAGCCCCGTGGCCGCCGCGGCCACCCTGGGCACGGGGATGGCGGCCTCGGCCTGCGCCACGAAGGTGCGGCACAGCCAGCACAGCGGGAGGGGCACCGGCAGCGCCGCCGGGCCCGGGGGGGGCTCCTGCGGGAGGGAGGGGGGTCACTCGGAGCCCAGGGTGGCATCGTGGCCTCCCATGGGACAGCGGGAGCCCAGAGCCGGGCTGGGCCTGGGGGGGATGTGGGTGCTCGAGCCCAGGGGGGCTGTGGCGTCCTGGGGGGCGTTCAGTCTGGAGCCCGGGGGTGGAACTGTGGGGAGGGGGTTAGGGGTGGGGTTAGGGTTCACTCCAGAGCCCAGTGGTGGGGCTGCAGCTCCCTCTGGGGAGGGGTCACTCAGTGGTGGGGTTGTGGCTGTGGGAAGGGGTCACTCAGTGGTGGGGTTGTGGCTGTGGGAAGGGGTCACTCTGCAGCCTAATGGGGGTCTGTGCCCTCCTGTGGGTAGTTGTTCCCTCTGGAGCTGGGTGGTGGGACCTGCAGGAGGGGGTTCACCCGAGCCCCATGGTGGGGTTTTGGCCTCCTGTGGGATGTTCACTGTGGAGCCCAGGGGTGGGGCTGCCCCTGGCTGTGCCCCCCAAGCGGGCTCCAGCCCCGTGGTGGCCCTGCTGACACCCTCAGAGCCACCCCCGCTGCTCCCCGGGACCCCCGTACCTGTGGGTGGGTGCCGAGTGCCCCGAGGGTGGGCACGGCTGCAGCACCGCCGGGCTCTGCCGGGCACAGCTTCAGGTTGGCACAGATCTGCCGGGGCACCTGGGGGCCATGACAGGGACCCCCGGATGGGGCACGACCAGGTGACCCAAGTGTCCCCAAACCCTCTGCACCCCAAGGTGTTCCCAAACCCCCAGTGCCCGGAGATGTCCCCAAACCTGCAGCATCCAGGGGGTCCCTGATGGCACAGTGTCCCCACTGCCCCCAGCCCCCCAAGATGTTCCCAGGTGCCACAGTGTCCCCAGGGCCCCAGCACCCCGGGGTGTGCCCTGGTCACGTCCCCCCGGTGCCACTCACGAGGTGCTGGAGCTCCCGGAGGACACGCAGGACGAGCGAGTGAACCACGGACTGGCACGGGGCCGCCAGGACGGGCAGCGGGAGGCACAGAGCCCCCAGCACCTGCTCCACTGCCACCTGCGCTGGGGCACCCCGGTGACACCCAAGGACACCCAGAGGACACCCAGGGGGACACCCAAGGGACACCCACGGGGACACCACCACCGCCACCCACACCACTGCTGTACCCGTCACCGCTGCACCACTGGCACCCGTGGTGGCATCTGTGACCATGG